GTTTGTTAATTGAATGATCGCAAAGTTAATTTTTTTTTTTTTTTTTTATTTTTATTTACTTTTATTTATTTTTATTTTAATTAAACTCCATAAATATTGTGAACATTTGTCTTTTTTTTCTGTTTATTATTATTTAATGTTCTTTTATTTTACCAAAAAAGTTGTAATATTTTATATATTTTTTTTATATTAAATTTATTTATAGATATTTGAATATATTTGCAACTAAAATGATCGCAAAATTCATTAATTTTGATTTATATTTATTTTTTATTTCTAATTTAATTTTACAATCAGTTGCACATTCACTTTACTCGACTCTCACTGCAGAATCCCTTTGAAAATCAGGATAAAACACACACAGCTCACATCGAGCGCTCAAGCACAAGCTGCACGCACGAATCGCAGCGAGAAACTGAAATTAGATCACAAACGAACTGAGCATTGTCCATGGCTCTGTTGATAAGCTTTAGGTGATGAAAGATGAGCTCATAATTCATGTAAGTCTTGTCTGTGTGTCGAGGTCTTTATCAGCAGATTTAGCGGACGTATATATAGGCTAGATAAAAACACACCCCCACTCGCCCATGGGCGGACGTGTTGCGGGAAAGGCTCTGTGTGCGCCATTAGATGAGTCCCAGTTATACGAGATAAATTTGGATAAACTGTACTTCTGCTCAGTTTTTTTCCTATCATCAGGTAGTCGCCCGGCAGATATTATGTTGACATACTTTACAACACCTTGATAACTCCGATTCTCACTGGCGCTTGGCAGGTGCTACTGGTTATGTTTACATTGTACTACATATACATGTACTATATAATGTAAAGATGACTTTAAATTTTATTTCTATTATTCCTAACTTATATTTGTATATATATTGTATATATTAAGTTATTGAATTTATACAAGTTTTCTAGTAGTATTAAATTAAACATTTGTTGTGTTATCCAGTGTAATTGCTCACGTTGCAGTCGCTTGAAAGATGTGCCATTTATTTGCACTGCAGAAGCTATAAATGACAATTTGTTTTGTGCGCCCGAATAGATCATAAACGAGAGGCTGTGCACGCATGGCGTATGCGTGATAATGCTACCCCAACTTGTAGGCATCTTAAATGTCTACGAATACAATAGAATGATGAGCAATAGCTCACACATTTCAAAAGCTCGAAGAATGAGCCCAAGTGCAATAGCTAAACCATCAACGAGTCGCTGCCATTGCTATTTACATAGCACTTCATCAGCAATTGCTGCGCCGCTATCACGCGCACTGCATTCAGAGTATTTTTTTTTTGTTGCGCATTAATGCGTGTATAAAGCATTGATGCACGTGGAGTGGCGTCAATTTATGCTGAATGTAAAGTGCGGAAATAAACCATATAATGGTCTCTAGATGCATCGAGTGCTTATGCTGGCTAATTGCCTATTGAAATCACATGGCAAACCCGAAACATTTGGTAGCGCTTATTGGAATTCGCTCTGCAACTAAATGCAGTTAGTCGTAATTACTTGTGGTTTAGGTAATTGGCTGTGCAAATTCAATTTGCAAGCCCATCAAGTGTGCCACGAGGCGAATGCGTAATATTTGCAAAGCGAAACATCTGAAGAGAAACATGCAATTCTAATCCACATTTACGTACTGCACATGGCTTTATGGTAGGGCAACCAGGCAAACAACAAAAGGTCTTATTAAATTTGCTATGAAAATTCATAAGTCTGAATCTGCCGAGCCGAGCACATTTACCCTTTAGGTGCCAAGCCACAACAAAAACCAACAGAAATTGATTCACGCAAGAGCCAAAAAGGCGCAAAGGGCTGCACAAAATTAAAATTTAATTTCTCCTAATTTGTATACAGAATTATAATACTGAAAGCGAAAAGCAAAAGCCAGAGGAAAACAAGCTTAAGCTTAAAAAAAATAATAATAATAAATGCCTGGCATAGGCCAAAAAATTAACAGAGCGAAAAACGCAGAAACTTGACCTCTTTTTTGGAGTCCCTCATATAAATATGAAAGCCTTTACATATATATTTGTATATTCATGAATATACATATATACGTATAAAGTGTCTTTCCCTCTTAATTTGTCTAGAAATCGCACTTAGTTGAATCTTATAGCAAAAGCTAAAAACAATCAACGACAGCTTTACTTTAATGCGTGGGCGAAACTCTTCTTCTGCTGCGCTCCACCCAGGCGAATTTGCTCTTGTGTATTTGGCAAAAGGATACGGTGTAAGAGCATTTCTATAGTTTATGGGCAACATCCGAGTCTTTTGCTATATTGTTTTTGTCACTGACTTGACTTTAGCATCAGTTTGCTGTGTTCACTGCTGCCATACCCAGTGCCTTCACAGAGATGGGCTGGGATATGATTTGAAGTCAGAGTGAAACATTCCATTAATTAATTGCTTGTAATTTATCAATCTAGCTTGAGTATTTTAGTGAGAGCTAACTGCTTGTTTAGTGGATTAATATTAGATCTTCATTTATTTTCCCATTATTAATGATTGCATGATTCTTGCACAGGGGAATAATCTAGGTTATACCTTTTTATTTTCAAGTGTGCTCCATCAAAACACATATCCTATATCATATACTAATACTATCCTATATAGCATGCCTGCTAGTCCTGCACTCTCTATTTGAACGCTTGAAAGAGTTTTGTTTTATTTTCGTTTTGTATTGCACACATTTGAGCCAATTTAACGCTTCCGTGTGTTTTTTTGTTTCTCTTTTTTATACTAGCCACGCCCGCTGGCTGCACGCTGCTCCTCGCGCTGCCGTAAAAGCGAAATGTGCTCTGGCAGAGTTTTATTTACTTTTAGCTCGCATCTGCAGCAAGTGAACAAAAAGTGAGCAAGGACCCCTGATGTGACTTGTTAGCTGCACACTGTTGCAGAAAACTCTTCTCCTGTGCTGCAGCTTATGCTGCTTGATAACGGACATAGGTATTATCAAATGGATTAATTAAAATGCACTGAAGTGAAGAAATCTGAAGGGTGCTCATACACGATTCAATCAAATCAATCACCATTAATAGACAATTCAGCAAAGCATCAAAATGAAATACTGAAGAGCTCAATTTATGGCAAATTAATTACTATATTATTATTGCTATTATTTTTTAATTTTTATATGAAAATTAAGCACAAATTTGTATTTTTATAAAACTTTATAATATGGTTACTATTCATACTAAAAACAAATGATAAAAGAGAAAGCAAAATGGCAAATGAGGCACATTAAATGAATTAAAGTTTTGCATTAAAATATCTTAGTTAAAAATTAAATGAAAAATATGTATTATTATTTATTATTGTTATTACTTTTATCCAAGTTAATTAAAGTATTTTTAAAAATTTCCCCTATTATATTATTATGTCAATTAAGTAATTTATCATCAATAAAACATATAGTATTTAAAATACAAATGGGACCATCAATTAAACGTATATTATTTAATGTGCAAAGAACATCTTAATTAACTTGTCCATCAAAGTTAATTAATCAAATCAAAGTCAGGCTAAGCACTCACTTCTGACCCATTTCAGCCAAGAAACGTCCTTGAACTTGGCTGCAAAGGCCAATGCCAGATTTATTTCAGTATGTAGAAATTCATTTTAGATGTCCGTGAGGACTTGATTTGAATTGGTCTGCTGTTAATAGCACGCATATTCACGTCTATAAGTTAAATATATACACACGCATATATATTATACATATATACACATATTCAAGTGCATGAGCAGAAAGTTGGCGTGTCCCTTAGAGAGTTGAAGAATAGCCCGTCAAATGAGTTAATATGTGTGGGGCGAAAGTTTATTAGAAATGTTTGTAATATGTTACTCGTGTCTATGGGTCATCATATTTACATTGAAAGTTGCTCAATTTAAAAATATTTCAGCTGGCAGACATATTATGGAAACAAATTGACAAAGTTTAGCATATTTTCCCCAAGTGCGTTTGACATATGCACCCAGAGAGTTCAAAAGGGCGACAATTCCCAAAGAATTATGAATATATATTTAAGCATGAGCCTTAAGCACTTAATAAAAGATTTGGCAATTATATTTATACATATGTATATATGTATGTATAAACTAGTTTTTTATTGTATTTCTCATATTGACATTGATGTGAGTATTGCCCAATATCTAGATTTTACTAATCTTAAGATTTATAGCCTTAGCTTACGTCAGACCTCCCCGAAATTGGGGAATTCGATTAGAGATAACGACTGTAGAGTAAACCAATAAAACAAAGCCTTAAAATAGACTCCGAGATTAATTTATTTACTAAAACGTACAATCTAATCTATATAATCACATTTGATCGAATTTCTTCATTATCTTAATAACGGGTTCATTCAAATATTTGCGAACCTCCAGGTTGAGGGCAAAGTCCCCGTGATCCCACAAGGGATCCTCCATATGGTGCAGCTCCATGTTTGGCAGTCGGTCTGACAGGGCGAGAACATCCTCGACAGCGGCCATATTATCATTATCGGAATACCATAGGTGGACCTGAGAGCTTATGTTCTCAACTGGATAGTCGGGTGGCACCTCCGTCTGGTATATTTCCAGATTCTTTTGAGGCCCGTAATCATATTGACGAAAATGTCCCGACTGCTGCTCCTGCAGATAGTGCAGCATTTGATTGGTGGAGCAGCCGGCCGGGTGCGTGGCCATGCCGTCCGGCATAGCAGTCTGTTCAATAAATATATAGTAAGGATTTACTTAGAACTCTGATCTGTGATTGCTCTTACCATATTCACACGACTCCCAGAGTACAACTTTTGCACAACATTTTCGCAAACGGGCCTCAATTTGTAATCGGGCTCGCAGAGATTGGAGAACAAACTCAACAGGAAATTATTGCTCGGTATGAACTCTTGATCAGCAAAGAAGAGCGAGTACTCATTCCGGTGGCCCAGATAGGGTCCCACAGTGCGCACCAATTTATTTTCCATGTTCGTCATAATGGCAATGGGCGCGAACATGTGAGCTGTCTTGATCTTTGCGTTGTATTCGGGTCGCAGGGACATCAGGGCGAAGAAGACTGTTGTGCCCTGGGAGTGGCCCACATAGTGGATGGCCTTCTGTCCCTGCCCATTCGTCTTCAAGGCGTAATCGATCATAGCCGCAATATCAAAGTACCCGATCTCGTGCCAGCTGAAGCGCCAAAAGTACGGATGCTGTGGGGAGCGGGATGTGTGGTTCCTTGAATAGGTGTTACCACGTCCATTGCCCAGCCAGACATCGAAGCCGGCATCAGCGAGCAGGAAGGGCAGACTGTCATCGGGACCCTGGAGTATCCAAGCATCCGAGCAACTTGTCAGCCCATGTTGAACCAGCACAACGGGTCGGATCTTGTCCTGATTCTGCAGCTTGTGGGAATAGGGTATGCGAAAGACGCCCACAATGTAGCCATCCTCGGTGACAATGTGGTGGTGCTCCGCCGGATATCCATGCGCAGCAATGCGGTCACGCTGAAGGATGCCTTGTACGTGAAGAACAAACAAGGACAATCGAATTTCAGAGACTTACCGTTGTGCGTCGATCCTTTATGCTTATGTGGGCTTCCGGATTGTCATACAGCTTATAGAAGTCGATTTCGGGTGGTGCTGCACTTACAGCTGCGCAATTTATTGCAGCCACTAAACCGAGCAATATCAAGGTTAACAAAAGCAAATTGTGCTGCATTGTTATGGGTCTGAATTGGGACTATGGCCAGTCAAACAGTCGCGTAGGTTTTTAATGGGAATTATCATGAAGTGGTCTCAGATTAAAGTGAAGACTCTCAAGAGTGAAGAGAATAAACAAGAGTTATTTGCAATAAAATACTGATTAAATAAAGTTACTCGAATTTCAAGTTGCTATTAATATTTCTGAATCCCAGGGCTCTCTATTCTTTAATGATCAACTTACCTAAACTATTTTATATGATATATTATAAACGGTTGTACGTTAAGTATTCCATTTACTGGGTAATATAGTTGTAATTATTATCAAGTGGCGATTCCAGAAAATATAGGTATTATTCGTGGAAACATATGCCTATCTAATTGACGTTGCTTAACTTATCATTAATCTCCTTATTAACTTTCGCGTGGCTTGTACTAAATCTACTAATTATAGAGCTGATTAAAAGCCCACACATGGAGATTGTGCATTATCGAAGTTTGTATAAGTCGAAAATAAAATAGAAAAATAGAAAATACTCCACATATCATTTAGATATTATATAAATGAATCTTAAATGTTATCTGATAATTAATGAATTATTAGTACATGCACATGTACATGCTCTCATACTCTTTAGTTCCTATAATACTTTTTCTCTAGATTTACTCTGAATGCAGTTCATCAGGATCAAATAAGCTATTCATATACATGAAAAAATTACAATTTAATTTTTAGAACTTTCAAATTTCTTCATAATCTCAATGACTGGATCATTAATAACTTTTCGAAGATCCACGTTCAAAGCAAAGTCGTCGTGATCCCACAATGGGTCATCCACAAGGTGCAGCTCCCTATTGGGCAGACGTTCAGCCAGAAAATTAACATCCTTCACAGCAGCCATTATATCATTCTGTGCATACCATAGGTGGACCTTTGATGTAATTAGCTGGACTGGGTAGTCTGGAGGCTCCGCTGATCCATACAATTCTTTATTTATTTTGCTACCATAATCGTACTGACAAAATCGCCCTGAACGATATTCTTGCATATAATGTATTATTTGATTGCTGGAACATCCCGCTGGCTGATGACCAAAACCTTCTGTCATGGCAGTCTATCAATTGAAATGAAATGGTGATGATGTGCATTACGAAGTCTGCCTTTTACTCACATTATTCCAGCGAGTACTGTTGTAATACGAATTAATGAGATACACACAGACTGGCCGAAAAATTTGGTCACGGCCACATACATTGGCGAAAGTTCTCAAAACATATTTGTTGTATGGTAAAAACTCCATGTTCTCCATGAACCTCGTGAATAGATTATACGGATTGCTCAAATAGGGCGATAAATTATGAACCAATTTATATTCCATATTGGACATCCATGCAACGGGAGCCATCAGCTGCGCTGTCTTGATCTTCGCATTGTATTCGGGACGCATAGACATCAATGCAAAAAACACAGTTGTACCCTGAGAATGTCCCACATAATGGACGGCCTGGTGTCCCTGACCATTGACCTGCAGGGAGTAGTCGATCGTGGCTGCAATGTCATAGTACCCAATTTCGTGCCAACTGAACTTCCAGAAATCCGGGTCTTCTGTGGACATTGAAATATGATTTCTTGAGTATGTATTCCCACGACTATTGCCGACCCACACATCGAAACCGGAGTCAACCAACAGGTAAGGCAAAGCATGATTTGGGCCAGTAAAAAACCAAATATCAGAGCCGCCCATTAGGCCGTGCTCAATAAGCACGATCGGACGGATCTTTTCCTGGTTCTTTAGTTTGTGGGAATAGGGTATGCGAAACACACCCAAAACGTAGCCATCCTCGGTGACAATGTGATGGTGCTCTGCCGGATAGCCGTGACTAGATATGAAATCCTTCTACTTAGTATGTCGTTAGGAGCTGAAATATGGTAGGTTAAGGACAGGCACATACCGTCGTGGTAGACATGTCCACACCAGCCAAAAGCTCTGCTGTGTGATACAAGCTTTCGTAAAGGGCGTGAGTTGCAGGGATATAAAGCGCAACAGAGTTTAAGCCAACAACTGATACAGTCAATAAAATTAGCGCCGAGATGAGGTAGTCATGCATTATGTAACGTGTCAACTACATCTGTGGTTAGCCAATCATTGGAAGTCCAGCTTTGCTTGATTGGCTCTGCTAAATTTATCATCGGGGGATCTTCGATGACCCGGAATATCTGTGTATGAAAGTGATCAATAAATAAACGTATGAAACGGTTCCCTTTACCCCGGAAACATATTATATTAAAAGGTAAATTTAATGAGAGGAAATCAGGTTTAGATTTAAATTATAAATAAATATTAAATAATGTCATTATTGCCCTAGATGATATAGGTCTATTTTTATTGGAAATTCCGCACCCATTTGCTTAATTCATAATTCTTTAATTACACATTCGTTGTTGATACTTGCCCACATGACGATAGTCCATTAAGCATGAATTGCAACCTTGCTAGTAATTTCGGCAAAAAAACAGTGTTAATTTTGTTTAACTTATAGACAGAATGGCAATTTAAAAACGCTCGATTTTTGACGTTTAAAGCACTAGCTCCTCATGATAATAATAATTCAAACAATTTCTGTGATTACCTGACAAAGAGACCAAGGTGGAAGGAAGCTTTGAAAGTAGAGCTGCAGAACACATATTTGCATTGCCATTTGATTTGGTTTACTAAAACACCGAATGTATATATTAAACAAAACAGAATAAACTAGAACTAAACTATGACTAATCCTCGCCAGGTGGCAACGGCTGATTTAAATCCCCTAGAACGGGCGCCGGCACTGGCTGTGGTGCGGGTGCGGGTACGGGCTGTGGTGCAGCAACTGGCACTGAAGTCAAAACGGGAACAGTAGAAATAATGTTCATTTCTGAGGAATCTACCAACTCCTTCTTGATGTTGTCTGGATTTATGTAGCCACCACTTTCGTCCTGCAAAAGAAAATTCAAACACTTTAGAACATGATTATTAATATTAGGTCATAAAACTAACCGTCACAAAAACATCAACCGATTTGCCGCTAATAATATCCAGTATCTGCTGAGTGATGCCGCTCATTGGCTCGTCCTGAATGCTCTCCGCGTATTCAAGCAATTGAGGTCTGAGGTCCGGGCACTGCTGCAGTGCGTCTGCCAATTGTGGTGGCGGGAGCTGAAGCAGTACGGGTAGAGACTGCGGCTTGAGGCGCTGCACAGTCTTAAGAAAGCCCTCCCAGATGACCTTTTGGCGCCACACTTGCTTCAGTATTAGGCGCTGCAACAAATTCAGTACAAAGTTTGAGAGACGCGGCCACAGCGTCAGGCTCTGTATAGTGGTGCGCATCATGAGCGTAGGCACAGGCATCATCTCTACCAGTTGCTGCAGCACTGCCATCAGCACTTCTTGTGTGTACACCTCGCGCTCGGCTAGGCACAGTGAAGTGGCCTTCACTATTGACTTTAGATCCCACACATTAGTGTCGATTGTGTGGAGAGCTACTAGCAATTCTGTGGGTGATATCGCCATCTGTTGGTGAGCAAACTCGGCACCAATACCAAGCAAACGATTAAAGACTTCTTTGACAACAGCCTGATTGAGCTTTATTAGCTTGGGCAACACAGCGATTAGCTCAGAGCGCGATAAGCCACTCAAAATGGGTATTAGCACACGCACGTCCTTGACTTTGTTTTGGTAGAGATCACGAACGCGCTGGACCAGCTCGGGATGTGGCGTGGGCACGCGTTCGGTCAAGATGTAAATAATGCGTATCACCAGCGTTTCCAAGCCCTTCGGACAGTCCTCCAGCAGCTTGAGCAGCGCCGGAGACTCGACGCCCAGCTTCTTGATAGGGGCATCCAAGCTGCGTAGTATGGTCCGCTTTAGCTCTGCAGATGTCTCCATAAACACTTGACAAATCTTCTCCAGATAAACTGCAAAGGAATGAGTTACGATTTGTTGAGCATGGTGCTATCTGATGACGCTTACCTTCCGGATTGTAGGGCAGCAGCGCGAGAGCCAGGAGCAGGCACACCTTGGCAGTATCTTCTTTCCAAGCCACCTCCGGCGTCGGTCTGCCGTAATCTGCCGAAAATATGGCATTCGGTGGTGTTTCAGCAACCACAAATTGTAGCCACTCCAAAGCGAACTCATCGATGCGCGCTGGAACAATCTTGTGCACATGATAAATGGTAATCAAGTGGCCCAAAGCACGCTCCCGTAGATCGGCGCGCTCATGAACGGCATAGTTGAGGAGCACGCGTACGAAACGATTTTTACGCGGAGGTCTTAGCACGGCAAGATCCTTGACTATCTCCAAGCCGTGATGCATGAATTCTTCGACCAGGCATAACTTAACCAGCTGCACAATCGCCTCCTCGGGCAGTATGGGAGCCTCTAGAAAGAGGCGGCGTAGCAAAATGATTCTGTCCTTATACTCGCAACGCTCATTGATGCCACTAATTAGCTTATTCAATAATTCGTTGTAGGCATGATCTGGACGATTCTCTGTCTTCACATACGTATGACGCGTAAAGCCTTGCAGCAGCGAGTATTCCTCAAAAAGCCAAGAGAAGGCCAGATCTATGCGCTGCTTGATATCAGCTAGTATGAATTCCATGATGCTATAGCGCACATTGTCGGGAAATGTGGCCGCAATAACAGTCACTAATTTACGTCGCTTGGCCGCCACGCCGCCCATGATGCACTGCCGCTCTGAGTTGAGGATCCTTATGATGGCATCTAAGAGAAACTTCTCTTTAGTATTGCGTGGAAGGGGTTTGGTGATCTCCTGCAACTTGAGCGTCTTGGCGCGCTCTTTCATTCGCTCAATGACCGTCTGTTCGCCCTTGGAACGTTCCATGGTCTCGCGTAGTTTCTTCGTCGCTTCTTCTTTGCGCTGCAGCTCCTGTTCACTAAGCTTTCCTTGTGCATCATCCACATCCATGGCCAGAGGCTCTGGATCGGCAATGGCAATACTAGACTGACTCTTTGGCTTCATGGGCGGCTCTTTGCTGAATGCAGCCGAGCCGGGTCCCATGCGCATCTCCGTCAGCTGCTGCCCAAACAGATGGGAAATGTTGCTCACTTGCTGCGGCAATGACAGCTGCTTGATGGGCGTGTACTCTGCCAAGAATTTCGGAGTTGCCGCATCCGGCAGAGAGGGTAAAAACTCAATAACCAAATTCACCACTGTTTCCGTGGAGCGCAAGTGCTCTGCCAGGAATTTTTCGTTCACACGCGTACTCTTCTGACGCTGCCTCTCTAGCTCTTCCTCATCAAGTTCCATTTCTTGTGGCTGTTGCGGATGTCGCTCCTGCTCGACCAGACGCGCTTTTTTAGCCAAACTCTGTGCTGCATTTTCTAGTATTCGTTTCTGCCTGCGCGCCATCTCTTGCTTATCCATTTTGGGCAGCAATTTTTGTATCTCGCTCGCACTAGCTCCCAAATCCATTAATATATTACGTATTGTTCCAGCAAACTCGAATGAGCCGCGCAACTTGAGAAGCATTTGGAGCTGAAGACGCAAACTCTTTCTTACAGAACTAACTTGAGAGTCTGTCAGTGTGGGCGGCAAATTGTTGTTGAGCTGTCGAAAGGCCTCAACAACAGAGCCCATAAAAATGGGCCGCATTTTGGCCACCGTACATAGACTACTCGTACAGGCAATCAGATTCACCGACGAGATGTGCGTAGTTCCATGGAACTGCAGCATAATGTCAAAGATGTTGGTGCCTTCGTCTTGCAACTTTTGACGCCGGATAAGTTTGCAATGTTCCGGCACATCGGCCAGTGAGAAGTCGCCCTCTCGCTTCATGCTGTCCTCATCCGCATAACTTTGAAGTATGATGACGCCCTCTAGAAATTTGATGGCATTCGTGCGTATGCCATCGTTTTCATTGTCAATCATGTCCAGAATTTGTGCCTTTATCAAACTTAAGACATTCCATGCTTGCTCAGCGCTGTCGCTAGGATCAGTCAAGCTGCATAGATATTGCAGTCCGTTTTTATAGATGCTGCCACAAGCCTGGATAACACGTTTAATGACTTGAGCTGAACTGTCTCGCAGCATCATAGATATCACATTAATTACATAGGGTAGAAGCTCCACTTTAACCTTACTGAAAGCGAACATCATTATACTTTGTGCAATTATGTATTTCAAGGATATATGCCCACCATATCTGTTCAATAAAAGAGACCACTTGCTTTCGCACCTCTTGGTTTTGATCGTGTGCCAGTGAGAGCACCGGCTCCAAGAACTCCTCTGCCAGCTCTACACACGAACTAAGCACTATTTCCTGCACTTTAACCAGCAGTTCACATTTCAACGTAGCATTTGCTGTCACGAATTCATTGCACCATTCCACAACCTAAGATAAATAAACAAGGTTTCAAATAACATGAGCGCATCAAATTCGACACGAAAGCATCTACCAACCTTCGCACGCGCTGTTGCCGTTTTTTCATCTGTAAAAAGATTCGCAGTTTCTGACACAAACTGGCTGCGCCCAATTATACTATCCATGGTTAAAATGTATATTTAATAAAATATAGTGAGTCTTTTACAATTTTTAAATGCCGCAAGTGCAAGCTGAAGGAGCTCCCAGATTTCGATAGCGTTAGTGATGTGCAATGGCACTAGCGATTAATTTTCTTGCCAATGTCGTTGTTTTCTCTTCACTCCGTCCTAAAAACCGAAAGCTGGAGAAATATTACGTTGCCTCTTAGCCTTTTGAGAAACTGTTTAGGTACAGGCCAAACACATTACATTCAATATTAATTGTTATTTTTTTATATATATATATATTTAAAGCTCAGTGCAAATGATATGCTCCCATGACTTGTGTGACGTCATATTCGTATTCTTAAAATGTTATCTTCTAAGCTTGTATTCGTTTTCAACATTGCATATAAAACATCGTAATATCGATACATCGGCTAATAATTATCGATAGCATCGATGCATCGATTTACTCACATTTTTTGGGTGTTTTAAAAGCGTGAAAAAAACGCCTAAACAAGCCAAAACGACCGCACATCAGGACCAATAAGCGCAGTTAGTTAATTCTTTTAGCTGCTGCATCAAAAGGCATTGACAGTCGCAGGCACAAACGGCAAGAAAAGAAGGTTCAGCAATACGGTGTGTTATTGAACAACGGCTGAAGAGTCAAAGGTAGTGCAAGAGAAGGGTGGTAGCGGAGAGTACGTGCTTGTGTATGTGTGTATGTGAGTGTGTGGGTAGAAGTTGCGGCTGTGGAGCAGCAGCGGCGGCAGCGGCGACGACAGCGGCAGGTTTAGTTGAGGCAGAGCAAACACAGAGCCACGATTTCAAGTAAATAGTGAGCTAAAATCTACAACGACAACAACAACAACACAAGAAGCAACTACAACAACAAGGGCATTAGTAGAAGCAACAGCAACAGCGGCTCAACTGCTTTTGTAAGCAACACACGACGACCGCGCCCTAATGTCAAATAGCCAAGCAAATGCCGGCAGCAGCGGTAGCGTCGTGGATGAAACGAATCCAAATGCAATTAATCCCTCACCGGGCACCACCACAATTGCCAGCAGCATCAATCTGACATCCGCATCGACAACGGCAGCTCAGAGCTCCACTGGACAGCCGGCGTCTGCTGCTGCACCTGGAGGTGGAACCGCACCGCACATAGTGGGCGCTTCCAGCACAACAACAGCAACTGCATCAACAGCTGGGGATGGTGGTGTCAACAACTTGGCTGTGGACTCATCGCCTCGCGAGTCTGGCGATGACTCAGAGGATGAGAGCGAAATATTGGAGGAGTCACCATGTGGTCGGTGGCTAAAAAGACGCGAAGAGGTCGATCAGCGCGATGTGCCAGGGATCGATTGTGTGCATCTGGCCATGGACACCGAGGAGGGTGTTGAAGTCGTTTGGAATGAGGTGCAATATGCGCAGCTGCAGGAGCTCAAAACTCAGGAGGACAAGATGCGTCAAGTGTTTGACAATCTGCTGCAGCTGGACCATCAGAATATTGTGAAATTCCATCGCTACTGGACAGACACGCTGAATGCGGAGCGACCGCGCGTCATCTTCATCACGGAGTACATGTCGTCCGGCTCGTTGAAACAGTTCCTCAAGCGCACCAAGCGCAATGCCAAGCGATTGCCGCTTGAATCATGGCGCCGCTGGTGCACACAGATCCTGTCCGCGCTCAGTTATTTGCATTCCTGCTCGCCGCCCATCATTCATGGCAATCTAACCTGTGATAGCATTTTCATACAGCACAATGGTCTGGTCAAAATCGGCTCGGTGGTACCAGATGCGGTCCATTACAGCGTGCGCCGTCAGCATCTTGACCAGTTGCCCGAACGGGAGCGCGAGCGTGGTGCCCACTACTTCCATGCACCCGAATATGGGGCCGCCGAGCAGCTGACAGCCGCCGTGGACATCTATGCTTTTGGTATGTGCGCCTTGGAAATGGCCGCGCTGGAGATCCAGCCACAGTCTAGCAACAGCGAATCGACTGCCATCAACGAGGAGACCATACTGCGCACAATCAACAGCTTGGACAATGATCTGCAGCGTGATCTGATACTGAAGTGTCTCAATCCCAACCCACAAGATCGACCAAGTGCCAGCGACTTGCTATTTCATCCACTACTCTTTGAGGTGAGTGCACGAAAGAAATATAGAACTCTCAAGTCTGTCATGTGTTGCTTACAGCTCTGTAATTATTGAATAAGTAGTTTAGTGCAAAGAAAAGAATATTTTTATTAATTTTGAAAGAAGAACAAACTAGATAGCTTAGAGAATCAATTTTAGGAACTGTAAACTGCTTAGAGCATCGATCATTCATTGTTGAAAATGAAGAGAATATATTATTATATCTCTCTGCTAAAGTAATCTTGCATTAGAAGCAACGATGTGGATCAGGAGCCATTGTTACTTGTATAAAAGCAAATCAAACGACCTAAGCTCGTCTCCAAGTCAATAAAAACGTAATCTATATAGAATATCTTGTCAACTAAAGTACTCTTCCGAGTTCGATACTTGTTAAACAATTTTTTTTTTTTTTTTGGTTTTTTTGTTTTGAACTAGTTTTTGTCAGATAGAACTGTATAAATTTGGGTTCTCCCAACAGGTGCATGCACTAAAACTTTTGGCCGCCCACTGTCTGGTCTTCTCGCCCGCCAACCGAACCATGTTCTCGGAAACAGCCTTCGACGGACTGATGCAGCGCTACAATCACCCGGATGTGATAATGGCACAGCTGAAAAAGTCCGGCAATGAGGTACAATTTCGACTGTCGGATGTGACCGGGGCCGACAAGCTGGAAAAGTTTGTCGAAGATGTTAAATATGGTGTCTATCCGCTAATCACGTACAGCGGCAAGAAGCCGCCACATTTTCGTTCGCGTGCCGCGTCCCCGGAACGTGCCGACTCAGTCAAGTCGGAGACGCCGGAGCCAGTGGATACCGAATCGCGCCGAATCGTGAACATGATGTGCAGCGTGAAGAAGCTGAAGGAGGATAGCAACGATATACTGATGACAATACTGTTGCGCATGGATGACAAAATGAATCGGCAGTTGACGTGTCAGGTGAACGAGGAGGATACGGCAGCGGATTTGACCAGCGAATTGGTGCGCCTGGGTTTTGTCCATCTAGATGATCAGGACAAGATTCAGGCCCTACTCGAGGAGACGCTACGTGCAGGCGTCCTCAGTGATGGCGCCGGCGCAGAGAGCTCTGGCGCCGGTGTCACCACAACGGCCACGATGGCTGCACTGGAGCAGCTGGAACGGAACTGGTCCATCTCGGATGCAGACAAAACGATGACGTCCAGCATGTCCGTGAACACTTCGCCCAGCGCGGCCGTCATGTACGTGCCACAAGAGCCAGCTGATGCGGAGGGTGCGCCGATCCAGAACAGCAGCAACAGTCACAGCAATTGAAGATGATGATGAAAGTATTCGGGCAAAGCCGGCGGGGTGCGCATTGTTTTTATTATTGGAATGAAATAATTACACTCTACGATTTTATTGCTACTATTATTTTTGTTATTTTTATATATATGCATACACGTATGTATTTATATATATGCATCTATAATGTATGTATATCATGTATGTGTTTATGTATTTGCGTATGTATATGTATTTAAACGATGTTGTACAAGGCTTCCAGGCAAGAGATTTCCGACGTGTATCCTACACCGACTCCACACATACACACATGAACGACTCACATGCAACCACACACACATACATACATAAGCCACTGCTTTAACTCGTAAGCCAGAGACGAGCTTATAAAATCAAAGCATTCGCTTAGCACGACTTTCGAAAATCCCGAATCGAATTCGGCATTCTCGAATATACCGCTAGAAAATCTAATCTAAAACGAAATAAAAATAAAAGAAATATTAAACAAAAAAAGTTAAAGACACTTGCAAAGGCAGCAGCCCCATGAAAACCAAGAGCAAACAAAAAAATTCGACTCATTTCGAAATAGCATTTAGGCACTCAAAAAGAATATGTATATGGTTTTTATTGATGCATATATACATACATACATTTCTGGTAGTTAACGAGCAAGATGATGAAAGAGCAAAAATGTCCCCAAACGCAGTAAATGTATTTCAACGTATTACAAATATTAGAATACAAAAGAAAAGACCACAAATAAAGCAAAACACTGACGGATCGTAGCATAAAGCAGCCACAACTACAACAACAACAAATACACAACAGACATAGCGACACTATTATTAAATAAATAAATAATTAACTAAATAAATAAAGAAAGCAAAAAACTGACAACACAAATATTGATTGAGTGCTTTTGTACGTTTATTTTTACTATTATACCAAACCAGGTTGATAATCAATAGATCCAATTTTAGGCACACGGCATTTCAAGAAGTTCCGCCTCAGTGGACTCCTGAGGAGTGCTCAGCTTGATGCGCTTGCATTCCCGTCCCTCTTCGGGCTCATCGTCTGTAAAAGCTTCGGGCGCTTCGTCAGCCTCGCTCAGCTCCTGCGCTACGACTTGGCGGACCTCCAACTGTTTGTCATATAATTCCAACAACTTGTTGCCCTCGTATAAAACAAAGGGCAGGCTGGCTCGCTGATAGTAATCAGGCATCAGTTCCAAATTGTTGATGACAGTATCCAGCATGTGCGATTTCTCACACCAGATGCCAGGTGCGTCGTTTCTAAGCGGATTGATATGTACATGCAGATGGTAGAATGACGGTTGATAATGGAAGTACATTCGCAGCTGGTTAGGATTCAGGCCGTAACGTTCAAGTATTGCCTGCTTGGCCGACTCTCGCAAATTGCGCAACAAGGGCAAGTGGCTCGCATTGAGATCACGCAAAGACTTAATATCGCGCTTGCGTACTATTCCCAGCAAATACAAGGTCTCCACATTGCGTCCATCCCACTTGAGATCAGGAAGGAGGACAAAGCCATTCTCTGGATGCTTATCCTCAAATACAATACGTTCAGTTTCCTGCTTGTGTTCCAGAATATTGTACACCCAGTCCAACGAGAATTGGCTTGAGGTGATGTACGGCAACGTAATGGATTCGTAGAGATCTGGGGTTTCATTTATTATATACTTCTGGCATATGGAATATTTCTCAATATGTTTCTCAGTGGCTGGATAAATCACTGTACCCTTCACGGCTATTAAAAGAGTAATGTTTTAGTGTTTGTTAGGCAAAACAGTTACAATTACTTACTACACAGCTCCTGGGTGGGCACACACTGAAAACTCGCGTAAATATTATTTATAAAATCGGTGCGGACTTGCAAATCCGTGCTAAAGTAACTTGGCTTCGGACTCGAGTCGGCATCCTGATCTGCCGGCACTTCAGTTGCCACGTCACTCTCACGATAAGCTGCAAAAATAGACATTTAACATTTTTTAAAGACACATACGAATTACTAACCATTTTTCTCAAAAACAACAATTGCAGCATCAGTTTCTGATATATCCGGGAAAGTGCCAAGTAATGTTATACTCTTGCATTTGCTATTATTGCTGAGTATTCGTTTGAGGTGGAACTTGGTTAAATCATAAGTTGGTGACTTAATCTCACTGCTTACATTCAGTTTTGGACTTGATTCTACTTGTTCAGGCATTATTTTATGTTTATTTTCTTCGGATTGTCTTGTTTCGGCGGCAATTTATTTATTCAGTGTTGGCAAACAACGGATAAACGATATTTCTAGTGATCCATTACCATTTGAGTCATTGAATCTTGTTATTAGCAATAAAGATATTTTGCACTAAGCATTTCCATAAAAAGAAAATTGTGAAAAATATGTATATTGATAAATGATTAATTTACCAATAATAAAATTACTATTTTTTCTAGACTAGATATGTTAACATAATTGCTCCACACATGTACATAGGCAACAACTGTTTGGTCAGTGACATAGGCCAACAATCGACAACGGGTTTTATGTACCAAGAATTTTTTGATCTATCGGACTGTTCCCTTCACTGTCGATAAGATTTCCACTCATCTCTGTCGCAACTAGCAGCCGACGCGCTTGCACAAAAAAAAAGAAGAGGAAAAATAATTTCTTCACTTTTTGCTGGAAGTATTGTTGCAAAAAGTGTAAGGGCATATGCAATTGCTGTAAACGCATTTAAAGTGTTATTTCAAGTTTTGCATTGTTAAGCAGAACGTTTACTTGCGGCCCAAGATCGCTTAAACTGAAAACTTTTGCCGACTTTGCGCACACGCTTTTACCGCCGCCGCTTTGTTGTTTTGGCGCCTGAATTTTGCGACGCGCACAAAAATTTGCGTGAAAATATAATTTAGCTGCGTGTGTCAAAATGGTGGATCGCAGCGATAATGGTAATTAATAAATATGACAATTTCGATTAAAATGATAATTAAAACTAACATTTTGGTTTATAAGCAGCGGAATCCTTTGACGATGCCGTCGAGGAACGTGTGATCAACGAAGAATACAAGATATGGAAGAAGAACACTCCATTTCTATATGATTTGGTCATGACCCACGCTCTGGAGTGGCCCTCGCTGACGGCCCAATGGCTGCCGGATGTGACCAAACAGGATGGCAAGGATTACTCTGTGCATCGCCTCATTTTGGGCACACACACTTCGGATGAGCAGAACCATTTACTTATTGCCAGCGTCCAGCTGCCCAGTGAGGATGCTCAATTTGATGGCTCCCACTATGACAATGAGAAGGGAGAGTTTGGTGGCTTTGGTTCAGTGTGCGGGAAAATTGAAATTGAAATCAAAATCAATCACGAAGGTGAAGTGAACCGGGCACGCTACATGCCCCAAAATGCTTGCGTCATTGCAACGAAAACTCCATCGAGTGATGTTCTCGTATTTGACTACACAAAGCATCCAAGCAAACCTGAACCATCCGGCGAATGCCAGCCTGACCTACGTTTGCGTGGACATCAAAAGGAAGGCTACGGTCTCTCCTGGAATCCCAATTTGAATGGTAATCACAAAATATTAAATATACACTAATAAATTAGATAATAGATAGACATATTAAGCTTAAGAGGAGATTGCTTTTTTATAATTTTCTATATTTCTAACTTTAGTTATATTCCATGCATATTGACTTATTTCGTGCTCTTTCTTTAGGCTATTTGCTCTCGGCCTCTGATGATCATACTATCTGCTTGTGGGACATCAATGCCACACCCAAGGAACATCGCGTCATTGATGCGAAAAATATATTTACTGGGCATACGGCCGTCGTTGAGGATGTCGCTTGGCATTTGCTGCACGAATCACTTTTTGGCTCGGTGGCCGATGATCAAAAACTCATGATTTGGGATACGCGTAACAACAACACATCGAAGCCATCGCACACTGTGGATGCGCATACGGCTGAGGTGAATTGTTTAAGCTTTAATCCGTACTCCGAGTTCATATTGGCCACCGGCTCGGCGGACAAGACGGTTGCGTTGTGGGATTTGCGTAATCTGAAGCTGAAACTACATTCCTTCGAGTCGCACAAGGATGAGATCTTCCAGGTGCAATGGTCCCCTCACAATGAGACCATTTTGGCCTCCTCTGGTACCGATCGACGCCTCCATGTGTGGGATTTGTCGAAAATTGGCGAGGAGCAGAGCTCTGAAGATGCCGAAGATGGGCCACCGGAGCTGCTATTCATCCACGGCGGCCACACGGCCAAAATCAGCGATTTCTCTTGGAATCCGAATGAGCCATGGATCATCTGCTCCGTGTCAGAGGATAATATCATGCAAGTGTGGCAAATGGCCGAGAATGTGTACAATGATGAGGAGCCCGAGATACCCGCCTCCGATCTGGAAACCAATACGGCTTAAGGCCCGCTTTCGACTTCTGTTTTTGGCATGTTTCCAAACCTCCCATAAGAAATATATGTGAAAGAAATTGTTTTCTTGGCTCTAAGCACGAAACCAGCTTACCCGGCGACGTGTACTCATTTTAATTTATATATTACATACTTTTACAATTAATTAAGTTCACATTTTGTCTACAAAACAAATCTTGCATTAAAACAATCTGAAGACCAACAAATTAATCAACAGTGTATTTAAACAGTTTGCCGAACGCCTCAATGTCCACGCGTAAGGCACGAGCATCTCCTTGGTGTCGCCTCGACATGATCTTTCCGCTTATCACCTGATCCTTCTCCACCGCTTGTGGCTGGTCCATGAAGAAGACCGTCTGTTTCCAATGTGTGGGCGTCGCAGCTGGCGAAGTACTGAACATGATTTGCTTGTCCAGATCAAAGAATGTGTCAAAGTAACCCACAAAGGCAGCCAGCTTGCCCGTTTGGGTGCACTTCAAATGGAATTCATGCGAAAAATTCGAATAGCTCAGATCAACGGTCATCATATCAAAGCTGGCTATTTCTTGGCTGTCGGTTAGTATGTGCTCTGGGTTGACCACCTCAATCAGCGGCTCCTCTATGCTGCGCTTACGCAGATCACTCATATCCACTCCATACACATCTGACCAGAACTCTACGTGCTGCTCATGCAGCGTCTCATTTATGCCCACCAAATGGAGTGTGCAGCGATTGGGTAGAATTTTCCCATTGGGATTCAGATGGTTTTCGCGTGCATAGATAATCGTGTCCAACATGGCCTCGTAGAGCAGAAAATAGCCCATCCATTCCGATATGATGACATCGTACTTGGCCTCGGGCAGTTCAGTGTCCTCCAATCGACCTTTAATGAGCTGCACATTCTTAACTTTATTTTTTCTGTTAAGGAGAGATGATTTAAGGTATTAAGTATTAAATGGCTAAATTAGTTTAAAAGTTTTGTATATTCAATTACAGATTATTTATAATCGTTAAATCAACAATTTTCCCTTATTCTTATTTAATTCTAATAAGATTATATACCAGAGACGAATTTTATTTAATTTATACAAAAGGTTTTAGTTATAATAAAAAATAATATATCTACAAATTTATTTATAATCATCAAAAATCTGTTCATTAACTAATTGAAATGCTTAACGATGCTTGGCTTACCTGACGATATCCATTGCAGTATATACAATCTCTGAATTGTCAATGCCAACGACGTTTTTAGCGCCAGCTTGAGATGCAAATATGGAGAGTATGCCCGTGCCACAGCCCACATCCAAAACGGACTTTCCATTCAAATATTTCTGGTTTTCCATTAGCGCAGAGCGGTAGGTGCTAGTGCGAACCTATTTAAGGAATAGTAATAGAAATAATATCAAAAATAATGGTCATACAGAGTTAGTTAATATGTAATATCCTACCGTATCGCTGAGCATTTCATGGTGTATACCAAAGTGTGAATAGCTATTGAAATATTCCTTGTCAAAAGATGGAGCATTACGCACAACTCCATTATTGGTTGCTGCGGTATCCTTTCCCTCGCTGTGCACTTTCTGTAACAGATCTCTGTAGTCGTTGCGCATGCGTTCCATATCTTCGCTGGCTTGTTGCAGCAATTGTCCTTGCTCGGCAATGCGTTGCAGCAACTCGGGTACGCTCGCTGCTGCCTGTGGAGCATCAGTTGTGATAGCATCGTAGTCGTAGCAAAGCCACGACTCGTACTGAATGGGCTTTAAATATTTCTCATCATTCCATTCTGGTTGTTTGGTTTGGAGAAGCTGCTCAGCAGTTATTCGACCTCCACGTATGTAATTTATTAACTTAATGAATGCATACTGATCCATTTGGAATTTCTGCTTAAGCTGCGCCAAATTCACCTTATGCTGGCTATTCAAATGCTCGATCGCCGGATCGACACTGGAAAAAACTTGAGTGCAAAATAAACAAGTTGTTGGCTCTCCTTCGTCGTCGGCGTCTTCAATTTCTTCATTATCATCGATGTCCTCGAATGCCTCCTCATCAGAGCTGGACTCACTAGCTATTATTGAAAATCAGATTGGAGATATATTCATGATATGTTTGTATATAAATTTACCTTTAATTTCTGGGTTATCCATATTTATAAATATCAACCAATTTATCAACAACACCAAATAGTTTAAAGGCGCTCTTAGACAGCAGCACGTGCGGGAAGGAACAGTGTTTCCACACCCCGGCAAATGTTATTAAACTATCGATAACTAATTTACTTTTCGCATCCCTTCACTTGCATAACTCTGTTAATAACAACATGCTTCAGGTGCGTAGCTCAATTTATTTTTTATTTATTAGAACTAATATTTTGGTTTGAACTGTGACTATTTAGGTATTGAAGAGTTTACGTTTGACCCAGCCTACGCGCTTTGCCTCTGCTCTAAGCAGCACAGTAACAAATACATCTTCGATCACCGCTGATGCTTCTTCTGCTGTCAATTCAGGCGAACCCGATAAGCTCTACAGCAAATTGGAAATTGAGCTGCGAGGAATTGATCCAGCTGTTCTGAAAAGTTATACCTGGTTCGCCACAACCGCGGCGGAGCATTTGGGCATTGAATTGGGCAAATGGTAAGTGTGTCTATTCTCTTTTACGAACTATAAATGTGCAGTTTTAATTTCAATGCTTTGTATCGTACATTTAAAGTTGGAGCCCCCGCAAGGCACACCATGAACGAATGACTCTACTGAAGTCCGTGCACATTTATAAGAAGCATCGCGTTCAATATGAGATACGAACTCATTTTCGTTATATGAACTTCCACAAGCTAACGGGATCGACACTGGACACTTTTCTAGAGTACATCGAGCGCAATTTGCCCGAGGGTGTGGCGCTACAAGCAGCCAAGACGGAACTACAACAGCTGCCTGCTCATTTGCAACAGCCGCCAGAACAAGTTTAGCATAAGCATACATATTTACTGAACTTAGTTGTAAGTGTTGCATATACATATTACGTACATATTTAACTCTTACGTTTTTGATAACAGTCATTGAAGCGATTAACCGAACAGAAGCGTAGAGATTATTGTTCAATGGTTAAACACAAATAAAAAGTCGTGTTAATCAAAAATTTGTGTTTATTGATAAGAATAGAATTGATGTTGGATTTACACGTTTCAGGCCCCACCAGGTTTTGGTGATAAGCTTTTGGTCTTGATATCAAAATAGCTTAAATATTTTGTATGAAGGAACTATACCTCAAAGACAAGAGTATAATGATAGCCCAGAATATCTCCTATACACCACTCAATATAAAATTGAGCGTATTTTTCTGTTATTTGCAAAACAGCTACGCCAATATACAGTGATAAGGATAGGGTATATAACGAATTTGTATTAATCGTATCTTGACATTCATAACGGGAACTGGAAACGGTAGCACTTGACAAAAACCAAATACTTTTGGCTAAGCAGTTCAGTTGCGTGCTTTAGCCCTAAGCGAACGAAATGCAGTCGGGTCACACATTGCGCCTGCTATTAGCCACGGCCTCTCTTTATTGCTGCCTTTCGCCTGTTGTGTGCATCTATGAGGCTGCAATATTGGAATTTCTAGAGGAGTTTCGTATGCGCATGTGTCACCCGATACCCAATTTGGGGTTGCCTGCATTGGATCCACTTGAACTAGGTCCTGCCGAGACAGCTGTGAATAACCAATACCTTGTCGAGTGAGTGACACCTATTTAATTTACGTAATAAATGTATATTGATATTTATTTAAATTCAGCTTTACTGGTTCCATTGAGGACTTTCAACTTAAAGGACTTTCAGATTTTGTTGTAGATACATTAAAAATAAATGCCGTGCCTGGCTTTCGTAGCACAATTAAAGTTACCTTTCCATACACTTATTTGAAGTCTCTTTACACTGCCAAAGGTTCCTTAGCGTATATTGTAAATTTGGCTGGCGATGGCAATGCAGAGTAAGTAATATAGAGATTATATATAAAAAAAAACTTTTTGTTAAATCTATCTCTTCTTCAATGTCCAGAGTATTGGTGAAAGCCTTTTCTCTTGAAATTTCATGGAAACTGAAACTGTCGTCCTCCTTATCCATCACAGATTTGCAAATAGATATCCTTTTAGGAGATTTAAAAGTTAATTTTGAAAACTTAATGGAGGAAGAGCGAATTGATTTGTTTCTGCATGATCTAATTAACGAAATGGGTGTTGAATTATTGGGTGATGTATGGAATTATGAGCAGGCCAAAGTTGTTGCAAAAGTCGAAGCGGTGTGTATTATATATATACTAATAATTAATTAAATTAATAATTTACATCCCTTACAGCTGATCAATAGCAAACTGTCGGGAATTCTGCAAGGTATTATTGGAGGAGGTGGCAGTGGAAAACCACCTATTTTTGAAGGCGTAGAACCGGATTGTAAGCTTCCTGCTCCTTAATAAGGCTAATTAATATGCATAATGAATTTAGCAATAAATAAATAGAAACGTTTCAAAGGTGTTCCACTCTGTTTATTGGTTATAAATCGCTTGTCGCATATGTATTTGCAGATCGTTACGATAAGTTGTGCGATAAAAGGTATATATTTAAAACATATGCACTAATCTATTGATAAAGTGCACAAACAGCAATAGGAAAGCCCACTTACTATTCTAATCCTGTCATTATCAACTAAATATTGCTGATAAGCTGAATGCCATTAACTACTTGACAGATTCGATGTGGGGTCTTGATATCACCACCTATTGATTTATAACTTAGACGTGTCATAAATTTATTTTTGAATTTGCGCGTTTGGCGCGTATATTACCGGCTGAGCAGCGTTAACATAGTACGCAGGGCTGCAGAATTGGATATTTTCGATTAACACTGAGCGTCATTAGGGCAACATTGTTTTCAGCCAGCCTTGCCACATCGTGAAAGTTAATATATTAGAATTTTCCAGAGCAGGGCAAGCCGCTTTATAAGTAAAGGCACAGTCGTACGCCATCATTATTCCTAATACAAGCGCCAGTTTGATCGAACGTTTGAGTGTCGGTTCGGCAGAAAGAAATTTAAGTGAGACAAAGTGAAGTAGCAATTACACGGTTATTCATATATTTAGTACATTTCAACTGAACAAAAGAAAAAGGTAAGTGTTATAATTAGAATTTAACAATTTTCCCAAGCATTCATGCATTAAAATGCACTCTAAATTTGGCACGTGGTCATTGCCGCGTGGGTTTGACCTCAAAAAAAATTTCCATTGTCTTCCATGTGTCTTACGACTAAAATCAATAATTTTATGTTAGGTGCAAGTAATTTTGGGGTCATTTTGAATACGTCTTTGCTATTGAACTGTATAAAGAAAAAAATTATGGCTGCAAGTGACTGAACTTTAGAATACGGACAAAAATACATGGACAGCATGTAGTGCATAAATTCGCGTATTTAAATATGTGTGCCTATATTGCGTCATTCGATTTTTCTGCGACACTCGGGACTTCCAATAAACAGAGCACTGCGGCGTGCATTGTAAATTATGTATACATCAATAGTTAATGACTTCTCGAAATTGGCAAGTTTATTTGAAATTGCTGGAATATTCCATTGAAAAATTGCCGCATCACACACACATACAAATTTTCCATTCGCCTGCCTACTCATTATGAGTCATAATAGAATTCAGCTACTGACGTCTGGATTTATATTATAATTTAAAAATATTTCGCTAAAAATAAAGAAACATCTTTGGCAAGTGTTTGGATTTTAGCTATTTTTATTTTTTATACTAAAAAACGCGTTGCTAACCGGCATTTTAAACTATACCTTTGTATGCGTTGTTGGAATAAAACATGTCAAAACGTATGAAAATTTAGCGCGCGCGTGCTTGTATACTATTGCCGTCCCGTTCATGCGCACAGTACAGGGTGCAAACTTATCAGTCTGGCAACGGCGTGGTTCTCTATACATATACATCTAGATACATGCATATGTTTATGCGTATGTGTATGTGTTTGTGGTTTATAGTATTCCAGAATTTTCGACTTTGTCCATGCGGTACTTCCATCCCTTGAAATTTAGCAGCTGCAATTGCAGCTGAACTTCAACACTTTTGTTATCTTTGTGTTTTTTTTTTTTTGGCTTGAGCATGTATACATAATAAATTGTACATACGTGCCTCGGTCATATAAATTAGTCATTTACCTCACGTTTCACCGTTTTTGGATTTCGCTCTGACATTAGCAACAACCTGTTTCCGTTGCATGAGAAATTTTACGTAAAAGGTCTGAAAATGATCAGAACATTAACTTTTATTTCATGGACGGGGCTGTAGCCTTTGCTTTTAAATAAGTATTAAAAAGTTTGTTAATGAAAACAAATATTTAAACGTATAAATGTATACCTACTAAACTAGATAATTATTGATCATCATCAAAAATGTAAATAAAAGAAATGTATGTGTAAAGTCCATAGTCCTCAAAGGAATACTGAATCGATTGATTTTTTACAATACAATACAACACGTCACTGAAATGCCCGTAATGACAGTAAATTCTGTCTTTGAGACTGCTTTCAATTTCCAAATCACAAAAACGAAGGAGAAATAAACAATATTTACGTATAGAAACTCTTCTAAAATTTAGACATTTTTTTTATATTTATTGCAGATGTCTAAGGCTCCAGCTGTTGGTATTGATTTGGGCACAACCTACTCTTGCGTGGGTGTGTTCCAGCATGGCAAGGTTGAGATCATTGCCAACGATCAGGGTAATCGTACCACCCCATCTTATGTTGCCTTCACGGAGACGGAGCGTTTGATTGGTGACGCCGCCAAGAACCAGGTGGCCATGAACCCAACCCAAACAATCTTCGATGCTAAGCGTCTGATTGGTCGCAAATTCGATGATGCGGCCGTGCAGTCTGATATGAAGCACTGGCCTTTCGAGGTCGTGAACGTTGATGGCAAGCCCAAGATCGAGGTTACGTACAAGGATGAGAAGAAGACTTTCTTCCCCGAGGAGATCTCCTCCATGGTGTTGACCAAGATGAAGGAGACCGCCGAGGCGTACCTGGGCAAGACGGTTACCAATGCCGTCATCACTGTGCCCGCCTATTTCAACGATTCACAGCGTCAGGCAACCAAGGATGCTGGCACCATCGCCGGTTTGAACGTATTGCGTATTATCAATGAGCCAACTGCCGCGGCCATCGCCTATGGCCTGGACAAGAAGGCTGTTGGCGAGCGTAATGTGTTGATTTTCGATTTGGGCGGTGGTACTTTTGATGTCTCCATTCTTTCGATTGATGACGGCATCTTCGAGGTCAAATCTACTGCTGGTGACACCCATTTGGGTGGTGAGGATTTCGACAATCGTCTAGTCACTCACTTTGTGCAGGAGTTCAAGCGCAAGCACAAGAAAGATCTGACCACCAACAAGCGTGCTCTGCGTCGTCTGCGCACTGCCTGTGAGCGTGCAAAGCGTACTCTTTCCTCATCTACCCAGGCGAGCATTGAGATCGATTCGCTGTTCGAGGGTACCGATTTCTACACCTCGATCACGCGTGCTCGTTTCGAGGAGCTGAACGCTGATCTGTTCCGCAGCACCATGGACCCTGTGGAGAAGGCATTGCGTGATGCTAAGTTGGACAAGTCGGCCATTCACGATATTGTGTTGGTCGGTGGCTCCACCCGTATCCCCAAGGTGCAGCGCCTATTGCAGGATCTGTTCAACGGCAAGGAGCTGAACAAGTCCATCAATCCCGATGAGGCTGTTGCTTATGGTGCTGCCGTCCAGGCTGCTATCTTGCACGGCGACAAGTCGCAGGAAGTGCAGGATCTGTTGCTGCTCGATGTCACCCCCCTGTCGCTGGGTATCGAGACCGCTGGCGGCGTGATGAGCGTGTTGATCAAGCGCAACACCACCATCCCCACAAAGCAGACCCAGACCTTCACCACCTACTCAGACAACCAGCCCGGTGTGTTGATCCAGGTCTACGAAGGTGAGCGTGCCATGACCAAGGACAATAATCTGCTGGGCAAATTCGAGCTGTCGGGCATTCCACCCGCACCACGCGGCGTTCCCCAGATTGAGGTGACCTTCGACATTGATGCCAACGGTATTCTGAATGTCACCGCTCTTGAGCGTTCGACCAATAAGGAGAACAAGATCACCATCACCAACGACAAGGGTCGTCTGTCCAAGGAGGATATTGAACGCATGGTCAACGAGGCTGAGAAGTACCGTAACGAGGACGAGAAGCAGAAGGAGACCATCTCTGCCAAGAACGGTCTGGAGTCGTACTGCTTCAACATGAAGGCCACACTGGATGAGGAGAATCTGAAGAGCAAGATTTCCGACTCGGATCGCACCACCATCCTGGATAAGTGCAACGAGACCATCAAGTGGCTGGATGCCAATCAGCTGGCCGACAAGGAGGAATACGAGCACCGCCAGAAGGAGTTGGAGGGCGTTTGCAACCCAATCATCACCAAGTTGTACCAGAGCGCTGGTGGTGCTCCTGGTGGCATGCCCGGTATGCCTGGGGGTATGCCCGGAGCTGGTGCTGCTCCTGGCGCTGCTGGAGCCGGCGGTGCTGGCCCAACCATCGAGGAGGTCGATTAAACAATTCACCAACCACAATCCCAAACCAAACAATAAATCAATTTATACGTTTTACACAACTTGGATTCTAAATTAGAAAACACACAACCACAAGAACAAATGACAACTGCTCTTGATAACTATATTATAATAATACAACTGCAACATTTAAAATATATAAAAAGCAAGCGAAAGCCCAAGCACTACATAGGATAATACATATATATTATATTATTATCATCATACATCGATCGATCATCCAAATAATATTTGCTTATACTTGAATAAAATACATCTAATTTGAGATTTGCAAAAGAATAAACGAGTTATTAATTTTGGCGAGGGGTGGAAATGCTCAACAAATTCAAATAAATCTCTGAGGCCTAAATACATGTTTTAAAGTTATCACTAATTAAAAAAAGTATGATTATATCAAATGGGCCATAAAATCTTTGGGCGTGGTGTAGTTGGGCTTATTTATTTTTGCTGTAGAGTAACTGGATTTTGTTTATTTAAGATAGAAGCTATCTGCCCTTAAAAGCACTCAAATTTGGAACGAGTGCGAAAATTAACTCTGAAACAAAAAGTCTCCAAGGCGGTGGCTTCGAGTTGAGTAACTTTATGTCAGAAACAAAATGAGAGCTTATCATGTTCACTGTTAAAATACTCAGCCCATTGCTTAATCATGCGATCGCTCGTAATTGCTTTCGGCTGCAAGTGGTGAGCACAATTGAGTGTTTCTTGGACCTAACAGTGTTCTTTACATAACTTACTGAGTCTTTTAACAGCGAGGGGTGGACAGAGCTGTAGCAGAACGGTCAGCTCTTCTGTTAACGAAAGAGACAGCAATAAAAAGCTTATGGTCTATACCTGCAGCTGGTTGGTGGCAGTGCATGATTTAGTGTAGATTGAATGATAATTAGTATTTTATTAGTGCTTATAAATGTGTATATCATTTAATAAGAACAAATAATAATAGTTATTTCCATTTGTATGAATGAAGTTTTGATAATATGGAATCTATTATATTCATTTTATCTGTTTTTCTTTTGACTCTCCTATGAAATTTGTAAATCATTAAGCGATCTTAAAATAATTTGTATATTTAAGTTGCATATTTAGAGCTGTTCAACTAATTTTATTTATATATAAATTTTACAATTTTCAGTGATTAACATAATTAATATTGTGATATTCGGTTTAGTTGTAATAATCCCAAAATTGATTAGCAACGATGAACCGATCTTCAAAGAGAGAATAAACCTTTGAGTGCCTAATCAACCCAGGCAAAGTTGTCATCCTTGTCCAGCTTGGCGACTCGACTAATCACTGGCAGCTCACTGTTGTTGGGTTTATAGGTGCCCTGGTCCTGGTTCCAGTTGTTCTCCTTAATCTGGACTGACCGCAGTCTGCGCCCAAATACGTTGCCCGTCTGCTGATGTTCGTTTATGCTGGGCTTCAAGCTGAGAGTTATGTCCGTTTCCAGTTGGTGCTCCTCAAGAGTTTTGTGGGGAGTGTCCAGCTTGTGCGCCTTGCCACTCACCTGATTCAGGTAGGATTGCCACTGTTGCAGTTTGTCCTCGGCAGCGCGCAGCTGTTCGATGCTGCGCTCGTGCCCAGGATTGATCCCAATTGGTTGAATGCCAACAATCTCATTCAGGTCGATCTTGATGGGGGCCAGAGCAGAAATAGCACGCGAAAGTCCGATTTGCGTGTGACGAATGCGATGCTCCGTGAGATCGGCGCCCAGCAGCTCCTCATGCGGGTCCATTCGAATGGGTATTACTTTGTTAATCACATAGAGCAGCAAAAATGTCGAGCAAATACCCCAGCAGGCCAAGCAAAGGGCGGACAGCGTTTGGATGCCCAAAAGGTACCAGCCGCCGCCCTTGAACAGGCCACTGCGTCCCTTTGTCGTGTCCATGGGCAGTGGGTTGTCGGCGAACAGCCCGACGGCAATGACACCCCAAATGCCACAGACCCCATGCACCGAGCTCGCACCCACTGGATCATCCACGCCCAGTCGATCGAACAGCGGCATGCTGATCACACATAGGAGGGAGCCCAAAGCTCCAATGAGCAGCGCCTCCCAGGCGCGATACAGAAAGCAGCCAGCTGTGATGGAGACCAGGGAGCCCAGAATGCCGTTGATCAGATCCATGATGTCCATGCGGCCATCGTGACGCCAGAACGAATAGCTGCATATGAAAAGTGATTAATGGTTTTCTGGAAAACTCTTTGTAGTCGGTCTGCACTTACAGCGAACTCACAAATCCCCCGCCAAAGGAGCCCATCATGGTCATCACTGCGGCACGCGCGGCATACTGCCATTTGGCGCCGCTGACGCCATAGGTGCTGCCCGAATTGAAGGCCAGCCAGCCCCACCAAAGCACGAAGAGACCCATACACGCATTCACCGGGTTGCCCAGTGGCAGTGGATCAATGCCCTCCGCATAGCGGCCCAGACGTGGCCCCAGCATGGCAGCCGAAGCAAACGATGCAGCGCCTCCAATCAGATGCACTGGGCCGCTGCCCGCAATGTCCACGGCGCCCAGATTGTTTAGGAATCCATGCTCGCCCCACACCCAGCCCGCGGGTATGCAATACACCACGGTGTTTAGGAACGAGAACACACAGTAGGCCTTAAAATTGCAGCTGTAAAGTGCAAGGAATATCGCGTTAAAACATACTATACCATATCGTATCATATCCTCATTCCATAAGAAAATACATATACATATGTATATATTTTATATCATATCAAATTATGTGATATTGTAAGAACTAAAACTTTATAATATGCCACGATTATCAAATCAAATAATATCATTTAAAATCACACATGAAATGATTAATATAATACAAGAACCATATGGAAATAATAAATGCCAAACAAATTTGGTAAAATATAGTAACTAGGAATCAAAGAATTATTTTTATAGAAATTTTGCATAACCTGGAAATTAAAATATTGCTAAGCTTATCCCAATACTAGATATTCTAGAAAATTTTAGGTGTCATTAAGAAATAGGTATAACCATATAAAATAGTTTATGCAAATTAAAAATAGTAATGAAAAATAAACAATTGTGAAATGTTTTCATGTTTAGTTTGCTTACCGCTCAGCCATGGCGCCACTGACAATGGTCGTTGCTGTTGTTGCAAACGACAATTGAAAGAGGAAGGCGGCAAAGATTTGGCCCATCAGCTCGTCGCCAACGGGAGGGTCAAGCAGAAAGTCACCGATAGCCATGAAGGGGTTGGAGAAGGGTCCACGTCCGAAGCTCATGCCGTAACCGAAGAGCCAGTATGTGAAGCCACCCAGGACAATGTCAATCACGTTTTTCATCATTATGTTCACCTCGTTCTTTATGGAAACGCAGCCCGATTCGAGCATCCCGAAACCCGTTTGCATCGTAAAGATGATAAAGGATGAGGTCAGCACCCAATTGGTATCCTCGATCGACAGATCATAGAGACCCGGAATCACATAGCTGCTATTCCGAATCACTCCCTTCAGCGCTATCATCTGTGACGCTGTTGCATTCTCCAACTTCATTTTATTTCTCTTCTCGTATCTATTTTAGTGCCGACGCTCGCGTCCGGTGCTCAGGGGAGTTGCTCTAGAAGTGAACGAAACAAAGTTGTTTTCAATTTCAATGCGAAAGCCAACAAATTACATTCATTTGATTTGAATGCAAGCTAATCGCAGCGCCCACCCAAAAAGCTAAATTATTTAGCTTAATTTTGCGTGCGTGTTATTTTCGAATGAACAAGCTAAATATACCCAGTACTAAATACAAATTGGGTGTTTGTGACTTGTACAAATTGTAGTTACAATCCAAATAATCCAAACATTCCAAATCCATATGTAATTATATAATACATCTGTTATTCCTTAATATGTATATAAATTTACAATACAAAAAATATAAAAAAAATAATTTTTGTATAAATAAATAAATTTACATAGTATGTACATATATATGTATGTATTTATTAAAATATTGTGTATTAATTTATATTATGTTTGTATACCAAATTTTTAGTTTTAATGAATTTTTTTTTATTATTTTAATAATATTATAATAAATATTTGTTTTTAACATTTTTTTATTTGAAAAATGTAGACATAGAAATTACTGTTTCAATATTATTTTATGTATTTTAACTTTTTACTCAGTTTTAATCCTTTTATTTTGTATAGATATTCTCTGTCGAGGACTTTGGTTAATTAACTATAAAAGTAATTGCCATCGCCTTACTTTGAACTCGACATTACGATTAAGTTAATATTGTTGTTGTCGCTGCTGTTGCTGCTGCTGACGATGTTGCGTTTGTAGTCGTTGCATGACTTAAAACACTTTGCAAAAATAATGCGCGCATTTTGCATGAAATTCAATTACAAGTTTTTTCCTTTTTTAATTAAATTTAAATTTTGTTGTTTTGTGTCTGAGTAACGTAATATCGTTATCAAATGCGTGATAAACTCCTCAACAGTGCCGATTAAATTGCAAATGCTGCTTGTATCACCTTCATATTGAGCAATATTATATTTATGTGTTAATTTTTAATTTTTTCTAATATATTTTTACTTCTTATAAATTGGTCATTATTTAATGTTCAATATTTTCGTGCATAATCATAAATTATAGCATACTTTGAGCTGCATTCAGAACGTTAACGTAACCTGCTTTCCGCCATTTTTTGAACGTCGACCTAAGCTTGTTACGTTATTTCCTTTCCTTCCTTGCGTTATGTTTAGTATTATTAGTATTTACGGAAACTTTGAAGCTCAATTTGGGGATTTTGGCGTTAACGTAAACGGTCACTCAGATCAATTTTAGCACTAGTTGGTATTGCTCGAACGTTCATTAAAACCGTTGAAAATATCAAATAAAAACTGTGTATATTATAACAATTAAAAGTTAATTGTGCAGTTGATAGTGCATATTAACGCCAGCAAAATGTATTTTTTGGCAGTGCTTGCGTTTATTGGAAATGCCAAAGGTAAAGGAGTTTAGTGAAAATTGAAAAACTTTATACACACACAACCATAGAGCCACCATATCCTTGCTGTACTAAAGAGAGTAAAACAGTGAAAATTTTTATTTTTTCCTTATGAGCTTAGGCTTTTGGTTGAAATAAAATTGTTTCCAATGTGCTTAGAGATAAGGACTTCGAATGAATATGTATTATTTTTTCATTCTAAAATCAATTTTAATTTTTGTTCTCTATCTACAATAACTGTAATATGGTCCATGGCCACAGCAGAGTTTCACAATTTATGGGACACGGGGCACACATACACTCACACACACACACACACACACACTTGCGCTGCGCTCATTTTCTCAGCGAGCTAGCAAGCAGGCAGCAACTCCTGCGAAAAGCGGGCATAACGCCTTACCACTGGGCGATGTGAAGGAAGTGGCGTGCAAAATTGTGCGTTAGTGCTGCCCATTCCGCTCTTACTTTCTGCTTCGCTCTCTCTCACTCTCTCTTTCTCTCTCGCTTGCTCTCCGTTCAATGTGTATGTGTTTGTGGGTGGTCGTTCGTTTTTGCATGTATGTATACTTTGCCATGTGTTTGGGTGTGTGCGAATGGGCTTGGATTGGGTGTGTGTATGTGTGAGTATGTATATGTTGGTGTATGTGTATGTCTATTGCAAAAATTTCACTTGGAAACTCGCACTGAGAGGCAGCAATTTTTTTCTTTGCGCGGGGGCGTAAAGCGCGCTGTTTGCCATTTTCGTTCGTGTGTTTCCTGCCCAGCCGTTCGCACTCGTGCTTTGTCGTTCGTGTCGACTGTGTTAGTGCATGTTATTGCAGCCACTTTTCCACTTTCCTGCTGCCAGAGGACGTTTGCTGGATATATTTGTTTTTAATTTGAATTTCCTTTTGCTGTTTAGCATTTAAATTATGTTGAAAATGTAATGGGCTTGCATTTAATTTCATTCAAGTGATAAATGTTATGTACATGTACACACTCATGCACTTGTATATGCATATATGTATATGTATATATGTATCTATAGATATGTATATCTATCTATCTGTAAGTCGATTGGTGAGGGGCTAAGGGTGTACAGCACCTGCTGCATTTTCAATACGCCATTGCAGATGTATGTACATGTGTGTGTGTGGGTGTATGTATGTGTGTGTGTGGGTGGGTGATGAGAGAATGTTGGGCGAAAAACGGTAACTGCTAAATCAGTAGCAAAGCGAAACTTGGTCAAGTGTGTCAAAATAAAGAATCGTACAGTTGTTCGGAAATTTATACATATGTACATACATAACCATGTTCGTAGGTAAAATCATATACATACTTGTTTATTTAGTGTTAAATTAAAAGTGTTAGTTGTTATTTAATTTAAATTTGATACAAGTTTTTATTTTGTTTTAACTATAATTTCATTTCAGTATTATATTTAATTTATGTTAATTATCGTTAATCGTGTATAAAGCTTATATGTATTATATTCAAACTTCAAACTGTACATATTTCAGCATATTATTTCAGAATATTTATATTATAGTATTAAATAGCATATTCAATATAATATTATTTAATATTATAATATTTAATTGCATATACACAACAACTAATTTTAATGCCTAATGTTTTTATCGTCCTTGACACATTAGATAGCAACGCTGTGAGCTCCAGCCTCATCCAGGGTGGTCATTGCCGCGATTACAATGGCAAACTGTATGAGACTGGCATGCATTACATGCCCGGGCCGGACTCCTGTCGACTCTGCATCTGCGATAGCGGTTTGCCCAAGGCGTGTAAAATGGTGCTGTGCGAGGCCTTCAGCAAGTGCAAGTCCTTTCAAACTGTGGGCAGCGGCAACAACTGCTGCGAGGTCATCTGCCTCGATGATCAGTTCAGCGATGGCAGCACTGATTTTGGCATTTGACTGGTGGCCAGTGGCATTACGGCCACGCTATCCCTATCCTTGCTCTTCTTCTTGGTCAATCGATTAAGACAGCGGAAAATGCGAGCACGCGAGAATCGTCAGAACGCGGAGGATCAGCGCAGTATTGTGGGTAGCATTGGGTGAGTTTCCAAAAGCTAAGAAGTCCTTATTCTATTTACTAATTGAACACAATCAACATTGCAGTTACATTGCCGGCAACATGGGTTACATGGAGGGCAATCTGAGTGCTATGGACTATTCGTATGGCGCAGCTACCACGCATTATCCACTGTGGAAGCCACCAAGCGGCTATTTTCCGCGGGGCGAGGCACCGCCGCCGTACGAGGAGGCCGTCGCAATATCCCAGGCGGAGGCATTAAGCGCTCAGTGCACCGTAACGCTGCCCAGCCATGTGCAGCGCCAGGCTGTGTCCAGTGTCAGTCAGCAACAGCAGCAGCAGCAAATGCAACAACAGCAGCAACTGCAGCAGCAGCACCTGCAGCAACATACGCTCCAGCTGCACACCCAGCCACAGCAGCATACACACCCACATGCATACGCACAACAGCTGGTGCCCGTGACTGCAGCGCATCCGCATGCGCATCAATTGAGTGCCGCGGCCGCTGCTGCAGCTGCCGCACAATCCAATCAGTATACGCAGAGCACTACGAATCTGATTAATATAAACATCAATAGCGGCGGCGTAACCACAATCGCCACTGGCGAGAATCACCAACCACCTTACAGCTTGCAAAGCGAACAGCAGCAACAGCAGCAACAGCAGCAACAGCAGCAACAGCAGCAGCAGCAGCAACATCAACAGCAGCAACACCAGCAACAGCAACAGCAGCAGCAGCAACTACAGCAACAACAACAGCAGCAGCACAATCTGGAGCAGCAGCACCAGCAGCAGCTACAACAGCTCTCTGCACCGACGCCCAGCAATTCGATCTGTGTGCAAACCCTGCCCACTCCCAAGCCCAGTGTCAATAGCGAGTGCAGCTATAAGAATTGTCATCTCAATATAAGTGCTAGTGTAACGACCGCAGCGGCTACTGCTGCTGGCAGCGCCTCCAGCTCGCTGGCCTATGCAGCAGCACGGCGAACGCCACGCGGCTCGCAGGAACTGCTGCAACAGCAGCCGCAGCAGCAGCAACAGCAGCAATATCTGACTGTAGCCGATGTGGAGATTAATGCAAGCGCAAGTGCCGCTAGTTATCATTCACTGCCAGCCACGACTGACATGCTGGTCACGCCCACACACCACCTGTCACAGCAGCAGCAGCAGCAGCAACAACAACACCATCACCAGCAACAACAGCAACAGCAGCAGCAATTACTCGCAGCAGCTTTGTCCACGACTGCCATAGACATGCTGCCAGCCATGGACATAGCGACGATAACAACGCCGCCCACATGCAGCAGCAGCACAGCTGAGTCGGTCACACAAACGCTGCCCTTACCGCTGCCGCTGCACGCCGCTCTCAAGTCACAGCAGCAGCAACAACAACAGCAGCAGCAGCACGGCAGCAAGACGCCCTCTAGCTCGCGTCGCTATCATCGCACCATTCCGCGCTACTTTGCTGTGGCCGATCCGCTGCAGGTGGTTAATGTCAAGCCAAAGTCTAGCATGAGCACCAACGTCAGCTCCAGCTCCACTTCCAGCACAGACAAGGCGAGCAAGAAGCCCATGTGCCAGTGCCCCATACAGCATGTGCCCATGTCCTACATGGGCAGCAATGCCAATGCCAATGCGAACGCATTCCTTAGCGGCGCTGGCAAGCTATTCGCATCCAATGGCAGCAATGCCTGCGCCCTCTCGCCCAGCTCCAGCACACGGCATGCCGCGACGCTGGCGTATGGTCAGCGCGCCAAGTCCACAACTAATCTCCAGCTGCAGCAGCAGCACGGACAGGATCTGCTTGGCAGCCGCAGTGCCTGCGCCTATGACACAAAGATTGCAACCATTTCGAAGCAGGTGGGCGACGAGCTGCAGATGCAGCCACATCCATCGCACGGCTCGAGCAGTGTCTCCGCCATAATACCGCCGCCGCCGTTGCAGCATCACGACGATGTCAGCGCTCCACCCATTGTATTGGGTCGCGTGCAAAAGCGTTCCAGCAGCTCGAGCAGCGCTGCTGAACGAGCCCGCAGCAGCAGCGGCGGACGCAGTGCGTCCAGCAGCGGATCAGCAGCTGCTGCCCAATCCGGCGTCGATATGCTCTCCAGCGCCTACTTGAATCGAAAGGTGAGTTCGAAATGTAAGTAATCCCATTGTGAATACTGAACTTTGGACACTCAATAGACTTTACCATAGAATATGTATAATGAAATGGACCAAAAATGTATATCTAAATGCATAATGCATATACATACATACATACATACATATATTTGAGACAGTTTTAAGCATAATACATACATATGTACACATATTCTAATATGTATCTGTTTTTGATTAACATATAAAAATATAATTAAGTGTCGATTTAGGTTCTGTTCGTGTTTAGAGTTTATCTTGCTATACATATTATAATTTATAGCCAATCTTAATAATTCTTTTGGATTTCGTAATTAACATAATATTTATTTTGCTTAGTTTTGTTGCGGTTTTATTCTCCGTACATATATATTATTCCCTTTGACATTTTGCTAATCTCATTAGTGATCTTTACAGGTTGATGCATACTTGAGTTTGACGCAGAAACAGCAGCAACATTTCTATAACCAGCAAGAGCAGCAGCAGAAGCAGCAACAACAACACAACAACGATCAAAGCAATCCAACTTTACCACCGAAACTCAACAAAAGCCTAACGAATTTAAAAACCGTATCAACCACTGCCACCAGCAGCTGCAGTACGAACAGCCACAGCAACAGCGCCATCAACAGCAACAGCAACAGCAACAATAGCAGCAGTAGCAGCAGCAGCAACAGTAGCAGTGGAGGCAACAACAACAATGCTGTGGCCACCATTTACACCCTCAGCAAGTCGGCGGGCAGCAGCGTACATCAGCGGAAGGAGCAGGCGCCAACATTGACGCTGCCGCCGAACAGCCCCTCGTCCAGCTGCGGGGAGAAGTCGAGCGGCAAAATCAATTCGAGTACATTTTATCCGCTGGCCAACAATCATGTCACCTACACGCTGCCCAAGCACATCAGCGGCAAGATCTCGCTGAACAGCACCATCAACAGCGTGGTCAGCAAGGTGCCCTCGGTGATCAGCATACCCCCATTGGAGAACAACAATGAGAAGGCAACGGTGAGCAGCAAGAGCACCACACTGCCCAAAATATTGCGTGTGAAACGGGACAGCGAACGAAACACAGCATCGACCTCTGCAACAACAACAGCAGCAGCAGCAACAACAACAGGAGCAGCAGCAGCAGCAGCAGCAGCAGCATCATCGACAGCAACAGCAGCAGGAACAACTACAAATAGCAAATCGATTGCCCATTGCCAAATGCCCAGCTATCCGCAGCTGGTGGCCAAGGCGCAGAGCGGGCGCGGTGGCACGCCCAGCAAGCAGCTGCCAGTGTGCACCACATCGAAGAACTGTTTGAATCCTAACGAGCATTTTCTGCCCAACGATACCAGCCTGGACGACGACTATCTAAGCGAATGCGAGAACTGCAAAATCGCACAGAGTGCCAAATACTATCTAGACGCCGAGATGAGCGGAGGTGGTGGAGCCAGCGCCCTAACACCACAGGAGACTATGACGCTGCAGCGCAAATCACTGGAGGAGACAAAAGAGGAGCCGCACGACAGTTACTACCGCAGCTCGCACACGCTGCCAAGCAATGCCAAGAAGCATGGGTATGAATAAACTTTAATAGTAAAGTCATGTATGATCAAATAATCTTCATATATTTCTATATATTTCATAAAGTGTCAGCAAAAACAACAATCGCGAGGCGTGGCAGTTCTCCACAATCCCTGCGGCCAGTTCGTCGGATGAGGACGTCAACGAATGAGATTTGAGCCATTTTCTTTAAGATGCCACACCCACACCCAAATGCCAAAACAAAAAGTGCATCCTAAAGAAAATGCAGGCTTCTACTTCTGTACCCAACTCGCAACCCTAATGGCATATACTAAATAAATAAATACATACATAGATAAAAACCTGATTAAAACCGTGAAATATATTTGTAAAGAATGATGTGCTAAATTTAGGTGTATACTTATAATATATGTACTTGCAAATTGCTCAAAGATATTTATATATTTATGTAGCTATGATAACCAACATTGGCATGTAAAATTTGCTTTATTCTGCACAAATATATGTACATTTGTAACTATGTAAGTAATTCAAATTGTATCATAATAGAGTTGCAAACGTTATTCAAATCGTTAGAGAAAATGTCAAAATTGTTAAAGATTATAGTTTGTTAGGAAGAAAAGCAAAAACAGAATAGAATTATAATACACTGAAATCAACTAAAAAGAATGACAATGCAGAAAGTTGAAATTACAATTTTTCGATTTATACTATAGTCGATCCACATAAATATATAGCATGTATTGCTTGTTTTATATGTGTATATATATGTAGAGCAAATAATGATTAGTCAAGATCGAAATTGAAAGAACACAAACTCCAATTTGCCAAAGATAACTGTCAATAAATTGTATTATGTATGTACTATATATAAAAACAACATGCTCTGTATGTTATATGTAAGCTGACCAAATTTGCGGGTCATATCCCCAGCTAAAACCAAAGCTCACACACAGAAATAGTAGCAAATAATAAGCATTCATAAATACTAAATACACTCACGCTCACAGTCACCCATTTCAAAAATGTAAATGTTAACTATCTAAGAGAGCTGAAGCTGAATTACTAATTGAAGAAAGGCGATTGAATTGTATGTGTGTTGTATATTAAGTATACGCATGGATATCCAACAGCACTTTAAGGTGTTCAATGTAATTAAACTTAAACAAACAAATTTAAAAAGAATATATATAAATATATATATTAGATTGATTTCTTGCTTAGGAAATATTGAATTGTACTTGTTATATGTATGTATTAAATAGTATTCTTCTAATTGTGTTAAACAATTATATTGAATATTATTTACTTGAAATGTCTATTGATAGTACGACACAGACTTATGACAAATATTTAAAACAAACAGAACAAGAAAAGAAAAACCAAAAAGATGTACCGAAATGGACAGCGAGTCTAGCATTTCTATCTTATAAGCAACGCATACATATTCAAATTAAACGAAAGAGTATGTTGTTTATAATTTGATTCCTTAAGCAACGCACCAAGCAACAGTTTAGGCTCAAAGCTGTTGCTTGGCGTGCTTATGATTAGATAAAGAAGTTTTTTTTTATATAATAAAAATAATGAACTGAAATGTTTTGGAATTAGCCAAAATTTCAGGTAGTTAAGACCATAGGCATGCTAGCATCAAACAAAGTTAGACTATTATTTAAATTAAATTTTCTTAAAATGATCGTCTATTTATATAAAGCACATTTTGTGGCAGTTTTGGTTAAAATTATGTTGATTCTCAACGAGAGCTTAGATCTCAAAAGTTATATGGAATATGGAGAAATTCTCCAGCTGCATTCCAAATTACTGATTATCTGACTTAATATCGCTCAAACTCTTAGACATGAATTCTCAATATGAGTTATTTATAAATGTGTTCAACGAAACTAATGCAACAAATGAAAGAAAATCTCTGTTGTCGAATACTTAAAAGCGTATTTGAAATAAGTATTATAATAATTACAAATTACTCAATCTCAATAGTCTTAAATTAAACAACGTTTCCAGCAATTAAATAACAAAACACAACGTATGTATGTGAATCGCGACTAAGTACGAATTTTTATTAATTAAGCTAATTAATATCGAAATAATTTCAATAAACCAATACGAAAAAAAAAATGAAAAAACACATAAAATAAAAACAAATACAAATAAACATACCATAAATAGTAGTTTACAATTACATTAGTGAGCGCTAGATAAACGAATCAAGTGCGATACATACATTAAAAGATGTTTCAAAATATGTAATTTACCAAATACTAAAAATAAATCATGTTTCAAAAACGACAATGTGAAAATTGTAATATGCTTAAACAAATAAATGGATCTATAATGAAAAATTCCTGAATTCTTGCTAGCTTGAACTGAAAACCATTTAAAATGGTTCTTCGCCTCACTCCACTCCCAAATATGTAAAACAACCATATATTGTAGTTTGAATTGTAAAAATGCATACAGTTTTTTACTTGTTTTTTTTTTTTTAATGTTTGTTTTTGTATTTAAATCATAAAAACAATTTTACGATGTATCAGATTTGTTTTGTTTTTATATAATATGTATATGGTATAACCTATTAGTTTCATGTAATGCTTGGATTTGCTATACATGCATAACAGATCTCAGCAAAAATCGCTTATATACATACAAAATTCAATAATTTAAGGTATGTATGCATCAATTTTCAGTAGTTCTTTTGCTTTTATTTCGTATTTTGTTTTTGTTTGTTTTTGCTATCAACGGACGTGAAGAAGGAGGAGGACGACGACGCGGGATTTATAGATGAAGAGACGGTGCAGCGAAATTAGCGAATTGGCCAAACGACAGAATTATTTGTGATCTCTCTCACACACACGCACTTGAAACGCTTAAATTGTATATGAACTCGGAGCGGGTCTGGTTGTTGATCCATTTACTTCTTCGTTGGCTGACTGTCCAAAACGGGTGTAATTGTTTTGCCACCGAAGATCTGTCCCCAGCCAATCAAACTGAAAGCAATAGAAATATTTCATTTACATACACGTCGAGTAACTTTTCCCTATTTTCATTTGCACTCACCGCCAATGGTTTTCCACGCGTCTACTGAGCGCAATCTTCTCGCCCTTCTCCGTGCACACGGGCGTTGTGAGCACTATCTTGGCCAGATCACCCTTGGTAGCGGAGATGCGGCCACCGGTGCTGAGCGATCCGATGTTGACCAGCAAAATTTCATTGCGCTGCAGCTTTTCGACACGGGCGCCCTTCTTGTCGCCATCAGTGCGGACGCCGAGCAGTCGACGCAGAAGGTAATATGAAATTTCCAGCTCTATGTAAATGTCCGGCAAGTTACCAACGGCACCGAGCACCTGACCGACCAGACGATCGGCACGGCAGAGCGTCGGATCAATTTTGGTGCCCACACCGATCAGGCCACCGGGCACTGCGTACTGCAGCTCATTTTGTTCGGCAAAGAGCGAAACGATGCGCGAGAAGATTGGACGGCAAGTGATATTGCCATCGCTGTCCTTGGTGACAACACCGGGACGCACCTCGATTTCTTGTCCAACCTTGAGCACACCACTCAGTATGGAGCCACCGGCCACGCCGCCCTTGAGATCCTGCACCTCACAGCCAGGTTTGTTGACATCGAAGGATCGAATAACAATTAAACGGGGCGGCGCCTTGAAGTCACGCTGCGGCACGGGAATCTTGTTAACAATATACTCGCAGAGCACATCAATGTTGTACTTCAGCTGGGCCGAAATTGGAATAATCGGTGCACCCTCGGCGACAGTGCCCTGCACAAACTTTGTGATCTCCTCATATTGCTCCTTGGCTTGGCTTTCCTTAACCAAATCAATTTTATTTTGCAATATCAAAATCTGTTTCAGTTTCATAATTTCAATGGCAGCTAAATGCTCAGAGGTTTGTGGCTGTGGACACGACTCGTTACCTTGAAGCAAAAATAACGCATCAGCCAATGTGCTATAGTTTTGTGAATACCATGACTTACCTGCGATAAGCAGCAGCGCAGCATCCATAACAGCGGCGCCGTTCAACATCGTTGCCATAAGAATGTCGTGACCGGGGCAATCGACAAAGCTCACATGACGCACCAGTCTAAAGCGGCCGGAACAGGCGAGACGCGAGCATGGCATGCTGTCATCCTTGCTAGATCCATCCGATACGAAGCTGGCCGGACGCGGGCACTTGGGATTATCGCACTTGTAGATTTTAGCATTGGCATATCCTGTGGACAAATGAATCCAAATGGATGGATAATTTAATAATATTATGGCTGCTATTTTATGACATATATTTATTATATATATTTTTTAGGTATCGTGTGCCCTAATGTATGAATTTAATTTAATAGTCAGTCAAGTGTTTGTTCTGTCTCGCCACTCAACATTAGTAACTTTGAAGACCATTAGTACGAAAAACTGTGGGTTAATATTTGTACGATATTTTATTATGTAATTTTTAGTAGCATTAAGAGTAAAACCTTATTTTATGAGCATTTAACAATTTTAAAATGCATAATATATTTGCGGAAAAAAATAATTAATTCTAGTGCAGAATTCGCACATCAATTAACTTAAAATTAGATTAAGAAGATTAACATATATGTCTTATACTTGAAAACAGTTAATTTAATGTGTGTGTATAAGTTTGAAAAATACAATATTAACAATAAATAATATTAAACAGACAACTTAAAACAGTTTTGTCAATTATTTTTCGAGAGCCGACGTCAATGAACTGTGGAATAGCTTTGTATTCTTATAAGTTATTGCAAATTTTAATGGGTAGGTTATTTAAATAAAAGTCATTTGATCCATGGTGAAGAATGTGAAATCTAGAATAGCACTTTCCGGCAATTCGGGGCACCACAGCGGCATTCGACGCGCGCAGCCGTCGACAGGTTCTCATAGGGCACAGCCTCATTGTCGGCGCGTATATAATCGAAGCTCAGCTCCTCACCGGCCTTGATATACCGCGTTGTGAAGAATACTAGATGGGGCAGTGCCATGTTCAAGTGCTCAATCCAGCAGGGGAATACCGCCAAATTGGGATCGCAGGAGTGATTGATGAAGTGCGAGACATTGCCATAGTTGGCCGCATCGATGGTGAACTCGCTCTCTGCGGCCGTATTGTAGTCCAGATCGAACAGGTATGTTCGGCCCTTGTCGTCGTAGATCTTGCCACGCTCGTTGGCTTCGTCGCTGGAAATAATCTCTCCCACATACTCACAAACGAATTCGCCTTTACGCAGCGAAATCGGCGTGCGTACTCCCCAGCCTCGACCGTTACTGGTCTTGAAGAGCTCCAGCGGATGCTTGCGTCCAAATTGTACGAGGCGATTTGTGCAGCTTTCATCGCAGCTACAACGGCTATTGCATTCAAAAATGGCACTGCCCTGGGGCAGACGTAAGCGACGTGTCGTACGCTCGTAGGCATACAGCTCGCCGGCGAGCCGGGCACAACAGCGACTGGTGGCGCAACATTCGGTCTTGCCATCCCCTTCGTCATGCTTGCAATTGCAGCCGAAGACTGCCTTCTCAGGGTGGGGCACCGAATCGCTCAACATGTTCTTCTGTATATACACGAAATTCGCATCGATGCTATCCAAATCGACGTCGTTTTTCACAGTTATGGGCGGTGAAGGCAGCTCCACGCTGTTCATACGCTTCTCAAACTGGGCCAGCTCCTGTAGCTGCTTTCGGCGCGCATAATGACAACCCTGGATCTGGATACGTCGCAGAGCTCGATCTTCAATGCGCTGGCGCTCACGCTGACTGCGACTGCCCGCCGCCCGATACTGGGCCAGCAATATCAAATCCAAACTCAACGGCATCGACTCGTAGTTATCCAAGTCCTTCTTTATATTAATACTGCTCAAGTCAAGTGGAGCGGCTGTCGCCAGTTTTGCCTCCAGTTTGCCAACGATTTTTTTGATGAAGGGTTCATACAATTGTGACTGCCGATCCACAAAATCCTCCAGCTGAACGCAGTCGGCTAGGTTCTCATATGCCTCCCAAGTATTTTCGCTGCTATCGTAGCCCAGCCATTTCACATAGAAGATGGGCTCGTTGTGCATCACCTCAACGCGCTCAATGGCCTCCACAAAGTATTCGCCCTTTGGTCTCTTTTTGGCTCGCTTCAAGGCCGGCGACGATGAGTGCTCGTTTTGAAGGTCGTTAGGGCTACGGCAACGCTTCCGTATGTTTACTGTTGAATTGTCGCTCTGATTTATGGCCACGGGCAAAGTGTCGTGCTCGTCGGGGCCGATGACGCTGCCATACCCGCTACTGTGACTAGGACTGAGTGAGACTTGGCTGATGCTTCGCCTGGTTCGAGTGTAAGGAGCAATTGCATTTTCCTGCTGTCTGCTCTTGGACGGCTGTCGTTGACGTCGCTTGTTCAATTGTTTCAGCAGTTGGCGCTGTTTCAAGTCGTATGCATCGCGCTGCTGTTTGGATTTCAGAAGTTTTTGGATTTTCATTTCGCTTAAGCGTTCTGCAAATGATTTTGGTATTGGTACGATTTTTGTTTTTTATTTTTTATTTTATTTATTTATTTATTTTTATTTTTTTGTTTTGGTTAACGAGCGTCGTTTGGTCAAACGAAAAACGAAGAAAAAGAAGAAGAAAAAGATGGACTGAATTAATTACAATTGCTGGATTAATCGAAAACAATGAAATTAAATTTGGCAATGCTCTAAGAAACTATCAAACTATAGATAAATTTAAAATGTATACAAAGTACAAGGAAAAAACAATTTTTTTTATTAGCCGATAGTTGACTGTTAATCCAAAGCTAATCCAAACTACAAAGGCGACGACACAGTGCGTGTGTTGTATTTATTTGATGTTGGGGGACTAATCCAGCAATGCATGTCATATTTAAAGATATCACATTTATCTATCAATCATTTACAGAACGCTCAGAACATCGATCCAAAATCATCGATCACGACACTTAAAACTATAAATTTTACACGGTATGTGCGACAAAAATATTGCAAACAAAAGTAGCTTAGAATATATAAAGTAATTTGGGTTTTGACAAATCACTACTTCCAAGTTTCATATTTAGTAAGCCAAACATTTTATTCCATACATTTATAGACAACTTTAAAATGCATAATTTTCCCATTTATATACAGTTAATATTAATAGATTAATTTGCAGGTAATTTAGAAGCCAAAAATATATCATTATATTTGTTGATTTTCACATTATGTAAAATTAAAATTAAAGGTTTCAATTAAAAAAAAAAATAATTAGATCCCGATTTATTCAGTTCTCAATTTTCTTTGCGAATTTGAAAACTGGAATAGATTTGAATAATCTGCGCGTTGTGCCGTCGTCAACATTAGTTGGGTTTTTGTTTAGTAATTTAGTTAATAGAACAAGGAAAATTTAAGTTTTATGCATCATAAAACGGAATAATCTTTGCCGAAAGCGATAAAAACTAAGCTAAAATGACACGATTAAAGAATTTACCCAATTTGGTATTTGCAATTTGGTAATCGCAATATTGCACATTCCGCAATCATCATTCTAATAGCAAATGTCATTCTAGTATTATGATTTGAGTATATAAGATAAAGAACTATATAACTCACCGAGCTTTATTGTAATATTTCGTTCCAACTCATTTTTAAAGCGGACAGTCTGCACCCCGGAGATGGCTTTGACAACCGTGGATTTGCCGTGGGCTACATGACCGATTGTGCCAATGTTGATGGTGGCCTGGCGGGAGATCACCTCCGGCGACAGTGGTGTTAGATTGCTTATTTCCTGTAAATACAATGCAAATAGTAGATTATCGTAAATATTATACCAAACCATTGAACTTTCACAACACGCCCTAAACCGCCTTACAAACTGACACACGCATACATCTGTATACGCACACAAATATACACAATGGTATGAGTGTGCGTAGAAAAAGCCGTACATTTTTGAGGTTAGAATGAACCGAATATTGCATCAGATATTGTAGCAACCGTTAAGCCGCATATCTAATGTTCTCATTAAGTTAGTTTAAGAACATTCACCGAGCATATTGCAAACATATGCCAAACAACTCACAGGGCAAAAACCCCTATTAATGCTAGCGAAACGTAGCAGGCAGCGCCACGTGCTGCATTCTTTTGAGGTCGACTGCACACCGACAAAGCGCAACAAAAGCAATTTATGTAAAAAGATGATTATACATAACGTTTTATCAAAGTTAGTCTTAGTCAGTCTCAACTTCAACGAAGACACTTTTTCATATACAAATGGCCGCGGTCCCCTAATGTTTTTAGATGCAGCGTCTACACGAACTGACGCGAGTCATCGAACCGGAGGTGGATATTTTCGGCGTATATTCCTGCACACTCACCAAATTGCTAAGGTCCTGCTTTTGCAAATTTGTGTTTACGTTGACTTGAGCTTCAGCCGTGGCCATGTTTTTAATATTTTTAAAAACGCTTTCTATATAAAATTAAAAAATGAATGGGCCAGCTCGTTTACACCTCGACATTAAATATTGTCCGCGCGTGTTGTAAAGGACCGAAAATGTCTTGTAATCTTTTAAGTGTTGTTAATGCTCAGATACGACATTGAGTATTTTGGAACCGGAACTAGAACTATATACATTTATTATTTAAATTTGTAAGTTTCTTAGAAAAATATATAAATAGATAAGCAAAAAAAAATTGTGTGTTCATTTTTTTCAATGCTTTCAAGATAGTTGTTTAGTTGTCGTTTTGTGTTTGGTAAAGAATTAAGGCAACCCTGCGCAATGCATATTTACGATATAAATAGTCGGTCACACTTAGATAAGAATTCGCAAACCGGGAGGACGGCGCGCATTAAGTGTATTAAATCGACTTCAGCTCAACTGTACTAGATAAACTAATAGCTTTTCACAACAATTTCGTCAATCCAAGTGTTGGTCTCCCCTTTGCCGCTCCATTTAAAACAAAGCCAGCAATATGTCGAGCGTGCCAAAGCGACAAAAGTTGGATGCTGCCGCCGATGGAAATACATCTGCCGGTGCTAACGAGGAGGAGTCGGAGGCGCTGGAACTAATCGATGCCTGTCAAAACGAAATTGACGCGCTTAACGAGAAAGCCAGTGAAGAGATACTGAAAGTGGAGCAAAAATATAACAAACTGCGGAAACCGTGTTACGAAAAGCGCAGTGAACTTGTCAAACGTATCCCCAACTTTTGGGTTACTTCTGTAAGTTTGAGCATGAATGTAGTAGTGATCGAGCGAATCTTTCTAAGCGGCCATGATTTGCATGTTTAGCATGAACAAATGTTAATTTTTCGGTATAGCCCCATATCTCGCAGCACTAATGCGTGCACAGCATTTTAAAGACAAAAAGGCAACATTAATTGATTTTGTGTCTCTACTACATGTGCAAGAAAAATTTCTCTATTCGAGGAACTTTTTTCGTTTGTTCTTTTTCATCTTGGTCTTCTATGCATGCCGCCGCCACCGGTCGCACCGCTCTTTTTTTGCCTATGGTGTGCGTGTGCATGTGAGTGTATGAATATATCGATAAATGTCTGCGTTGAAGCCGCACATTTCTGACCCTCTAAATTAAATTAATCGTTCTGAACAATTATTCTTTACCGGTTTGTTGTTTAACTTATTTCCATAAACATTGCATTACATAAATGTATATTCATATTATTGTAGACAATATGTTACTCAAATACACCCTGATTATGTCACTTCGAGCTTTATATTCTTGAGTAACATCAAATGGATAGCAGATATCTAATTTAAATTTCCATTTGTTTTTAGTTTATTAACCACCCGCAAGTATCCGGCATTCTGGACGAAGAAGAGGAGGAGTGTCTACATGCACTAAACAAACTGGAGGTTGAGGAATTCGAGGACATAAAATCAGGATACCGCATAAATTTCCATTTCGATGAAAATCCGTACTTTGAGAACAAGGTTCTTACCAAAGAGTTTCATTTGAATTCAGCGGGTATGTGTAATTGCAAATAATGTTATTTCACTTATATATCAATGTAATCTCTTTAATTGTTAAAGCTGCCTCTGAAAATGGTGATTGGCCCGCGTCTACGAGCACACCCATTCAATGGAAGGAGGGCAAGAATTTACTTAAACAGTTGCTAACGAAACCTTATGGCAATAAGAAGAAACGGAATTCCGATTATAAGACGTTCTTCGATTGGTTTTCGGACAATGCTGACCCCGTCAATGACGAGATTGCTGAACTGATAAAGGATGATCTTTGGCCAAATCCACTCCAGTATTATCTCGTACCTGATATTGAGGTGGAACCCGAGGATGATGATGAAAATGAAGACAACGAAGAGGAAGCGTTCGATGATGAAGATGGAGAGGATGAAGGCGACGAAGACCTCGAAGATGAAGGTGTGTTGGCACAGATAACTATTTTAAGAGTTACTTATCATAATTTTATATTTTCAGATGACAAGTAAATCCTTAAATCAATACATATATGCAATTTGATTTTTCCAATTTATTTCCCTATGTGCTAACCACTTAAAACTATTATTTTATGTATGGTTATGTCGGAACGGGAGTATAAAGACGTAAACATGATTTTAACTTTTACGTGAGCATTGCAAATACCATTTTAGACAGTTATATAGTTACTTATTAAGTAAAATGAATACGTATTTCCGAAAAACCCATCTACGAGCAGCAGTTTTTTAAAATACAAATAAAGTGAGTCCAAAAACGATTGCATTTTTTTATTCTTGGCGATTCAACGATAATCAAGTTATCGTTATCGGTATACTCAATGCCGCTGTGGTAATAAGGAAGACCATGACAACTCTAATATTGTGTAGTCGAATCAACCCTGTACGCCGCAGCTGCGAGATTTAGGTGGAAAAGTATCTGCAAGGAATAAGCAATGGCCTCAATTAACAAATTAGCACTTTTGGTAGGTTTTGTTATAAATTGTGTAAAATGTACTTCCTTCTACAGCAACGGCACAATAATTGCTGATTGTTGTGGAAGCCAGTAATAGTATTAAACCGAAAACAATTATCTAACACGAATTTCTTGGTTATGTAATTTGCAATTTTAACCAATAACCAAAATTCATTTGCGATTTTAAGAGATGATTTATACTAATGGTACTTCGCTTGCTTGCAGAGCCGCACACTCAGCTCCGCTGCTGCCCAGCAGGTGGTGAAGCCACCAATCCAATTGTTCGGATTGGAGGGCCGTTATGCCACCGCTCTGTATTCGGCAGCCACCAAATTGAGCCAATTGGATCAGGTGGAAAAGGATTTGACCGCACTGCAGTCGACCATTAAGGCCGACAAGAAGCTGCGCGAACAAGTCACTAGCCCCATCATCAACAAGAAGGTGATGGCCACTGCTCTTAAAGAAGCTGCCGCAAAGCTGAATTTTGCACCAGCAACAGCCAATTTGTTGGGTCTCTTGGCTGATAATGGACGCTTGAAGAAATTGGACACAGTTATCAGTGCTTTCAAGACCATTATGGCTGCTCACCGTGGTGAGGTTGTCTGCGAAGTTATCTCGGCCAAGCCTCTAGATGCCGGACAGAACAAGCAATTGGAGGGAGCCCTCAAGGTAAAAAAATCAGTATTCAATATGTAGCGAAACTAAATAGTTTTCTTTTCCAGTCTTTCCTGAAGCCTAACCAGTCGCTGAAAATCACTTCTCGCGTGGATCCCAGCATTATTGGTGGACTGATCGTGTCCATTGGCGACAAATATGTGGACATGAGCATTGCCACCAAAGTGAAACTCTACACAGACGTCATTCAGTCCGCCGCTTAAGATTTCCGTGTTCGGCGTGTAATAGCGAATAAACCTGTTGAGGATAACTTAAAACATTTCCAGCTATTGTTAGACATGTTTATTTATTATCAATATTTATCCAAATGAAGACTAGTATGCATACTGTATAGGATAAGACGACAACATCTGTCACTCTGACGGCTCTGGCTGCATGTTATTACTTGGACACCTAAACTCTTTTCTGTTGGGAGTTATTTCGTGTTCAGACTTGACACTTGCACTTACTAACTGTTCCTGGTATGGATGATTATTTTGATTGCAGTTGACTGATTCGCTCTGGTCTATGACGCCAAAATCTGCATATAACTCATACATCTTCTGCTGTAACGCTATATACCATTCGTTCTGCCGACAGATCATACTCTCTAGCTCGAAAATGCGCTGTTGTTGCTGTTCGATTATTCCGCCCATCTGCAGGTGCATCTGGCATTGGCACTCTACATCGCTGCCCTCCATAAAGTTCTCTGTCTGTGGCTTTTGGGGAGATGCCTCGCATTTGCATGGATGATTCTGGCTGCGTCCCAGCAACAAGACATCCGTGCAATTGCACAGGCAATCTATATCTCCACATCGCAGATTGTTGTTTGCCATATTTTCATTGTGCATGGGCAGCACAGTCGCTTCGGTCGCCTCAATGTCGGGCAATGGGATGCCACAATCCTTATAGCTGGATTCGCTCACAAAAATCTCTTCGTCTAAGCCATCGTCCTGCTGTTCGTTGCTTCCTGATTTGGATATACCGAAACAAGGTGACAGCGAAGCACCCGACAGGAGAAGCACCTGCAGCGAAGGCCGCTTTATCTTTGGCATTATCCAGTTATCCCCCTTGTATTGCTCCTTAATGAGCGACGCCTCCTTCTGAGTACGTTCCACGAATTGTGGTATGTGCTCAATGCAGACACAGCAACATTTCTCAATGCTTTCCACAGCGGTATCGAAGGTTCCCATACTCTTCTGCCAAATCTGAGCTTCCTTCTCATTTTTAGGATAATGATAGGTGGAATCAACGGCATCATTGGCAAACTCCTTGCCGCAAGTTACACAACGACGGTTCATTGGAACGTTCAAAATTTAACTTAAAATTTTTGTTTAAAATATTACTGACAGAATATTTTGTGTGTTAATGTAGCTTCCTAAATGTCATGATAGCTATGTGAGACTTTATGTGTGATCTTTGTATTATTTGGATATGTTTATATGTATATATGTGGTTCAGTTCTTTGTTGCCCCCACTTTAATATGTTTTGTAGTTGGCCATTGATCTGAGAACTCGTACTCTTGGTGTCACTCTTTCATAGGGCGGCCAATTGAAGTTTGATTGCACCGTACCCGCATTGACTCTTTCCTTTTCGACCTTTGTGTTGGCCTGCAACTCATTTAGCTTGGCCTGAATGGACTTTTGAAGCCGCTGCTGCTGGGCCAACAGCGACTCCAGCTCATCCAACTGTTGTGCTCCTTTTTTATTAATAGATTCTGAAGCCTTTTTTTCTGCCTGTTGGATGGTCTTTGCTGCAGGAGGCATTGTTTTTGGACTTGTACTTGAAGCCGCCTCAGCACACGGGCATTTCTTCTCAGGCGTTGTGCCCAGCAGCAGTACATCAGTTGAATCCGCCGCTCCTTTCTGGCCATTCTCTGCAGGCTGCCGGCAAACTGAATAATTCGGCTCATCGATGTCTGGAAAGAAAGCTCCCTCGCGTGTCATATCTGACTCGACCACACAGATTTGCGAAATATCTGAGGATCGCTTGCGCAGGTCCTTATCATTGTAATACGAAGGCACCATGGAGCCACCCATTATTAGAACATTAACCGGTGGCCGTCGGCCAGTGTCCATCAAAGAGCACTGCCTACATGGTGCATTGCCCATATTTGAATTTCCCAAATTTATTTGGCTCGAATTTCCGCAAGCCTTTTCTCTAAAGCCGCGATCGCACATACATGATTTCTCGCTACACGTTGGCATGCGTACGTTGTGATTAGAACATTTCCTTATTCCAGGACAGATTTTATGTTGTTCCTGCTGATGCTGCTGCTGCTTTTCTTGTTGTTGTTGTCTCTGTAGACACATCTGCCTGTTGCATGCATTTAGTGGATAGCCATAAGAGCTTGAATTCGATTCGAGCTGCGGGTTTCTGCCCGACCTATCTGGAGAGCTCTCTCGCTTTCTTGGCATTGTCTGATTGTATTCAGAGCTCTTTGGAGGACTGCATCGATTGCAATCTGACTTACAGGCTTTCTTAGTTGAGGATCCTTTTGATTGCGTCCGATTTTTATTGGAGTTTGCATTTTTTAGTGCACTTTGTTTTTTCAATCGAAAGTTTAACTCGCTACCAGAAGTCGATCTTATGCGCAACTTTTCGTACATTTGGTCGCTTGGTTGTTTATTATCATTGGATCGATAATAAATTTGTGGCTTACTAAAATTTTCTGTATGTGCACAATCCAACTGAGTCTCGGGCCTTTGATCTGTGAAGTAATGTACGGCATTAGCGCTGGTAAAAGTTACAGAACGATCCTCATCAATAGGAGATTCTGGCACAGTATATTCCCTACGATTAACATGCTTATTGCAAACACAACAGCTATGCATCAACGTCTCCACAGGCACAAAGATAGCGAGCATATTTTGCCATTTGAGCGCTTGCTCCAAAGTATGTGGATAGGTGAACTTTGAGGTTGGTTGCTCTCCACATATGATACAACGACGTTCCATTACAAGGCACAAATGACAAAATTTTTTATGGGCGGGGGCAAAATAATTAATTTAGATTTTATAGTCGAGGATCACTTGCAAATCAAATATCTAAAAACAAGTGTCGAAAGAATTTCAACACGTAAATCTATTCAAGATCATATAATTTTCTATGAATATCATATAAATGTTTTAATTGTTGCCAATAATTGCTTTTAACTCATTAAATGTATACAATGAATTCACTCTAGTTTGCCTTACAAGCAGTTAGGAATGCTTGCTTATAAGCATTTCGAATCTTATAAGTCTGCCAACTTGCTGTATGTTAAATTCAAATAGAATGCAGAAGTGCGATGAGCTGAACTGCTTGGACAGCGAATTGGAAAGTTATCGATAGCTGAAAAAAAAAAAACACAGCATCAGCGATACTGGGGTAGTGCAATAACATTCGTCATTGTGTCGTTCGTTGGGTTTCGTAGTCCGTTGAACGTCCATATATGCGGCTGATTGTTTAATTTTAAAAACTCGCGACGCGAAGTCAACATCCCATCGAATCGATCCAATTTTAGTTTATTTGTTTGCTGATGACTGAGTAGACTAAAAACAGAATAATGAGTTTAGCAGGCACAAATATAACCAACTGGCAAGCCGACGATCGTGGCGATATGGAAAAGGTTTTAGCCATGTTAGTGCTAGGACTTGGAAGCCTTCTATCCGGCATGCTGCCGGCCATAATATCAGAACGTAATCGTCAGCGATTTCCATTGATAACCTCGTTGCTGCTGTGCTTCGGTGCAGGTATTTTGCTGGCTACAGCGCTGGTGCATATTTTGCCAGAGGTAAACCTAGCTGTAATCGAGTGCAATTTGATAACTGTTTTTATATTCATATGTTTATGTGTGGATGTGTGTGTTTGTTTGTGCTATTGTTTAGGTACGTGAGCAAATGAACTCGAAATTCGCCGAAGTTGCGATGTGTGGTGGCTTCTTCATCATTTATTTCATAGACGAGTTCATACACTACTTCTTTGGCGAAGCCATTCAGCATACACATGAAGTGACTCCAGCAGCGAGCGCTCCAAGCTCCAACAATGTCTATGGTGCAACTGATGAACGAACTCCATTAACAGGAGGTGATACAACACATCATCATCGACATGGGGGAAAGTATGATAAAAGAAGTGAATAGCTTATTTAATCAATCGATTAATTTCATTGATTGCCTTTAATTACAGCGGTCATGATCATAATAATCACGGTCATATGTACGTTCCCGTTCCCGGATGTGATGATGTCAGCGTTGAGGATGCAAATGCGCGAATTTGTCATACCAGCCACACTGAGCCATGTGCTCAATCCATGACCGGGACATTGGGGCTCTTTGTGGCGCTCTCCTTGCACTCGGCCATCGAGGGATTGGCTATCGGTGTGCAAAACTCGGCCACCAAGGTATAAGAGATTACCTTGACATCATTTAGTTTATGCTACCAGTGAGATAATCATTGGGATTGCTTTCTAAATATTTATTTTGATAAGCGAGCATACACGGTTGTAAATGTTTCGTACTTTGTCTATTCGCTTTTATTTTAGGTGCTCTTTCTGCTGGGCGCCGTTGCGTGTCACAAATTCGTGATGGGCTTCTGCCTGGGTCTGGAATTTCGCTCAAATCCACGTGCAAGCTTTCGTTCGCAATTCATTGGCATCTTGGTGTTTGCTTTGGGTGCCGTGTGCGGCATCGGTCTGGGCATGCTTATCGTTGACATACCCTCCAGTTGGTCGAAAACGGCATTGCCCATCATACAAGCATTGGCTGGCGGCACTCTCTTTTATGTGACCGTGTGTGAGGTGATTCCTCGTGAGAAGGCACGATGGCATACGAACTCGATTCGTCGCTGGGCGGGATTTGCGCAATTCACTACAGTTGTTGCTGGCTTTGCGACAATGTGCATAATTAATTATTATCTTGCTGGTACGTCATGCCGAAATAATCAGTTTTAGCATTTACGCATCAAATATTTATTTACATTTACATTTCTATTCTAGACGACTGAGAATCTCATTGGGCACTGGCCCGTTTTTCTTTTATCTTGTATGTGTATCAGAAATTTTGTATGCAAAATGCTTTATTGTTTAATGTATTATTAAGTGTCTCAGCCAATTGAAATGTTTTGTACAACATAGATGTGTGCTATTTTATATAATATAACGTTTTTTTTTAACATTCTTATGAGTGTGATTTTTGCTTAGCTGCAAATAAATAAAAGACAAATATTCTTCATATCTACACTTATATTTGTTGTGGCTTTCTCCAAAGTTTCTATGATTTTTCCTTTTTATCAACCTTAATGTAGTTGTAAATAAAAAAAAAAACGGTTTCAAGTGGTTTTTTGATTTGTATTACTAGGTATTTATGTATATCAATCATAAAACATCTTGCTAAGCGATTGAATGTAATTGCATACACATTTGCTTTGCCATTATAATTTTGTTTTAAACCAATTAAAACATCTCTATAAATACACATTTATGTATGTAATATTTTCCAGATATATATAGACAAACTTTATATGTAGACGTATAAATATATTTATATGTATGTGTGTATAATTGAAGTTGAATTGTTGGTGGTAAAACGCAGGAGAAACTAATTGCTTGGTACTCGATTGGTTTGTCTATCAAATACGCAAATCGATTTTGTTACTATGTGCTTCACATGCGTAAAATATATGATATATTTTATTTTTGTTACTATTTCTATAAGTTGCGGAAATCCGGTGCAATTACAAATATGTCTCAAAAAGAAGTACCATTGAAACAGTTTTTAATTTACAATCGAAACCAAAATTCTTTTGCCATAGCTATTCATTGATCATGACATTCACAAATAAATCTGCATATAAACCACGATCTCCATGTTGAATCCATGTTATTCAGTTGCTTGAATAGTAGCACTGGCATATGAAAATTAGCTTAAAACATAAATAAATCTAGTAATTAGAGTTGCTCTTTCGTCGCAGCAGTAACCCCATTCTCGTCCTCATTATCATCATCATCGTCCACCCACTCATTCATGAGACTCTTCAATTTCTCTTGTGTACCTGCTGTCAGCGCCTCATCTTTGCCATCGACGGCAACTGCATCGCTGGTGTTTGGTTTCTCCTCGGTGGCAGCAGCCGATTCTACCACTGTTGTTGTTGTTGTCTCGTCGCATTTTTTCTCATTATTATTTTCTATTGATTCATCTACAGCCTCAACAGGTTTGGTTGCCTCAGCTTGAAGTGTCTGATCGGATCCATCTACCTCAGCTAGCTGAGTAGGCGAAACTTCGGTCAATTCTTGTTCACCAGTTACTGCGTCGGCATCCACATCAACATCGGCTCCAGGCGCTCCTGCTTCAGCAATCAATTCGTCGATCAACACTTTCCGAATATTTTCTGTCTCCAAGTTCACATCATCAATACCAGAGGCGGTGTCTGTAGGAGCAGAATTTTCTTCAATGCTTTCATTAATGATATCGTCGGTTTCAGGTTCGGGTTCGGCTTCGGCGTTGGCCTCGATTGATGTTGGCACGTCCTCCTTAATGAATTCCTCCTCAGGTTCACGTTCTTTCTTATCGTCATCTTCCTTCTTAATAGGCTGCTCATCTGCTGCTACTTTTTCCGCTGCTTCTGGTTCACCTTGACTTATTTCAGTTGCGTTGCTGGTGGTGGCAGCTGCCGTTTTCTTGGCAACGGCCTCTGTTTCATCTGTCTCGCCACCACCCTTGTGCAAGCTTTCTAGCGCCAGATCAATGTCATCTTCCGGCTCTGGTTCCTCTGCGGCTGCCTCAGCAACTGTTGATACTGCCACCTGCTTCTCAGTGTTTGTTTCTGTTTGTACAATAGATGCTAGCTCTGATGTCGCAGGCTTGTCATCTATGTTATCCTCATCCTCATTCTCATCCTCGGTCCATTCGCCCGTTAGCTCTTTAAGCTTTTCACTAATGTCATCGCGGCCCTTTTCTGCCTTTGGCTGTTGTAAAGAAATTGGTAATTAGAGTTTGTCTTTAATATTATTACTTCACTTACTTCTTTGCTATTCTGATCTGTTTCCAAGTCATGCTTTGATATTAAATTCTCGGCCCATTCCAGATTATCTATGGACTCCTTACTTTCATCGGCCGCCTCACTCTTTTTGCTGTTACTCTCCACAGACCCGGTGGCGGCTAGCTCACTATAAATCTGACTGTCATCATATTCCTCTTCGGTGCCCGTTAAGGATTTCGCATCGCTTTCCTGCTTTGCATCCACTTCTGGCTCACTAAGCACCATGACAACACCCCCGCTTGGAGCGCCTGCCTGTTGCTGATTCAGCTGGGACAATATCTCCTTGCGCTGTTCATCAGTCAACTCGACCTCATTGCCATCGGCGCCGACAAACTTGACTTCCTGCTCTGGATTTGGCGACTGCATGAGTTGCTCCTCCTCTGTCACGTTCCCCTCATCGGGCTCTTCGCGGGTCTGTTGCTGTACAATGGCACTGGTCGCTGGCAAGCTGATGTCGGATAAAATGCGCACCTTTTGCTCCTGCATTGGCTCCTCTTCCACTTCCTCCTCCTCCTGCTCCTCATCTTCCATCTGTCCGTCTTCGTCCTGCGAGCCCAGATACTCCTCATCGGTCTCATCAATGATGCCATCCTCCAGCGCCTGTGCCTTGTGATAGTTCTTCATATGCCTATACAGCTGCAGCTCCTGGGCAAACACCTTGCAACAATAAATGCACTGTTGCTTATTTTCATCCGTGTGCGCCTCGTTGATGTGCTGCTCCAGCTCGTTCTTGGTCAAGTAAGTTTGGTTGCACAGGACGCACTCCGCGAAGTTGTATAGCAGCGATTTAATCTGATGCTCTGTGTGCATGTGGAAATGCAATTCCCGATTGTTCGCAGATCGCCAGCCACAATGCTCACATAGCGCCGGATCTATTGTCTCCTTGTGGGTGTTGATCAAATGGCGACGGAAGCCACGATATGATGGAATGCTTATTGGCCGTCCATTAACGCCGCAACGCAGACACAACCACGGACCTGCAAGCCAAGACAGTTCAGTGTGAGTAAATATATAATAATATGGGTTATCTCTACAGAAAAATATTTTATCTGTAAAATTTTCATATGATATACACGTATGCCTATTTAGTAATTATATCTTAGTATAGGTTAAGTAATTTACTATCCTCGATACATTAAAATAGTGTGAAATAAATTAAATAAAAATATTCAATAACGTTTGGAATATCACATGTTGAAGAGACCACATTGTGTACCCATAATATCGCTGGGCTTTTTATTGAATGAGAACCAAGCGAATAATTTGGAGAACTTTTCAGATCATCTTTTGTTCTCGTCTTATCGATCGCTCACTAAAAAATAAGCCCCGTCCCGTTATGTGCTCACCTGTTGTGTTCTCGGCACCCTGTGCTATTAACGCATGCATCGTCTTGCTATCAATGCGCCGCTTTTGCCCTGTTGATGATGCAGCGGACGTGGTGGAGGTTGCCGCTGCCGACGCGACTGGCTGTGGTGCTGCCTCGACTGCTGCTGGCTGAGCCGTCGTCAATTTCTGTGTGGACCTTTGCTGCTGCTGTGTTGTTATCATTGGTTTGTCTGGTTTGAATGAAACGTGCAGCTTCTTGTGTGGCGATGTGGGACCAGCTGGCGATCCAACTGGTGCCGGCGATGCACGTTTAACTGTCGTAGCTGCTTTCTCGACCGGACTATTGGGTAATATTTTCAGCTTTATGTTCTTGTGGCCCTTGACAATGTGCGGATATTGACGGAGCACCTCGGCTATTATTTTAGTATGATTCAGCTTGGTGTTCGACGAATCTTTGACAATAATCGTCGGCGTTTGGCTTGGGGAATCCTGCTTCAGAATGATGGTTGTTGTGCCATGTTCCATTTGGGTTTGCGTCCCTCCGGACTGTTGCTGGGTCTGCTGTTGTTGTTGCTGCTTAGATGTCGATGGCTGTGGAGGCATATCATCGTCATCATCATCGCCAGTGTGCACATCATCGTACAGCATACTGCTATCATATTCGGGATCGCCATGGTCACCATATTCTGCGGCGATTTGTTTGCGCATGCGCTGCTGTTCCGCAAATTCTTTGACCTCCTCCAGGCTGGGTTTCTTTGACGGCGGTGACAAGAGGCTCGTTTGTGCCGGTCTCTTATTGTTGTTGTAACCCTTGCGTAGTTGTTCGAACGGCGAAGTGGGCTCCTGTTTGACATATGAGCTTGTGGATGTTGTCTCCCCATATTGTGTGCGATTGCTGATGCCACCGGATCGCAAGATTGCGGGGGTATTTACAGCACGCGATTGTTGCACATTCGTACGTCCCGCGTTACTGTTGCCCGGACTGGAACCAATGCGATTCGGTGGTGTCGATATGGACACACGTTGCTGGGCGGCCGGGGTATTGCTGCTGGGTACCATAGGACGACGGCGTATACCCTTCGGACTGGGAGGCTGTTAATAGATAAGAAATAGTCAGTTTACCATTTATGGTAATCCATAAATAAATGAAAATCTCACTCTTTGCTGCCGATTCACATTCTCCATTGTGCGTCGATGGGCTTCCAATAGCTTCAGCAACACGGTCATATTCATCTCTTTGGCGGTGCGCAACAGTTTGCCATACATTTTAAGCTCAAACTCAAGTGTGCCCGTGTACATGAAATTGACGATGGGCACAACGACATCGGCTTGAAATTCGCTCGGCATTATGAGTGCGTCGTCTATTATGTCGCAAGTTTGCTCCAGCACATTAAAATAATCTGTGCAAGCGCTTAAAACGAGGCGATGCACTTTCAACTGTGAATTGTCACGAAACTGCAGCGTTAAATCGCAATAGTCCGTTTTATTAAAGAAATTCTGGAGCTTCTGCAGAAAAAAGACGCCCCAGTTATCTACTTTCACGGACTTCACTTCACCCATCTTGGATAACTTGTATAGTTAAAAATGCTTTATTTTTGAAACGCGGCCTCCCCGTCGCGATGTCTACAGTTGTCGTTGTTTGGCTTTCCTAGCGTGCGGCTGGCGCAACTGTACTCCGGTGGGGGCAGGAAAATTGAATTTTAGACACGGTTGCAGGACAGCGGATTGACATAGAATGCAAAAGTTATAAGAATTTTTCAATTAATGAACGAAATTATTAGTTTTGTGAGATTTTCTGCAAAACTAAAACGAACATCACGGGCGTCGATTGATTTTCAACAAACATATTAACTGCCCGTGGCGCGGCAATGCAGCTCCGATATGTTTTGCATGTGTGTGTGTCTGTATGTGTAAATGCTAGAGATGAGAGCGTGTCAATTTATTACGAATGAAGAACTTTTGGGAGCGCATATTTAATATTTTTCTTTTTATTTTTCTTTAGTTATTTGACGATTTTTCAAATTAGCATCATAAAAAATAAGAAATATACCCAAACATTAAATATGGCATAACAGAATAAGCATTAAAATGCCTTGCATATATTCACCCACGGAAGTCACGCTCTCAACCCTAGTATGTATGCCACATATATATAATTGTAATGTGTATATGAAATGCAATGCCCATCGCCTTCTTTGCACAATCCAGCACAAATTACTTCAATTATATATACAATAGCTTGACATTCTTTAATAGTATTTATATGTTGATGTTTAGCAAATTGGCGCTATGTTCGCTTTACTTTTCTCATACAAAACGTTTATTTGCAGACACAATCGTTATCGCTAGACTCAATTAAATTATTATGCAAACTGTACATTTCAAAGTCTGTACATGCTTTCCGCGAATATTTTTAAGCATTTAAAACCTTTTTTACGTATTAACATACATTTGTTTTTTATTGCACACTGATTTTACCGGACAAATTTTTAATTTTCCCCGTTCAACAAAAAAGATGGCGTCAGAGTGACCCTATTGAAAATCCACATTTTTCTGCACGCCACCACACTAACGATATCATTAAATCGATAAATAATCTGATTTAGCCAGATATATAAAATTGTTGGGTGAAAATGGGCTATAGATTCGTTAAAATCATACAATTTTTAAGCAGATAATAGAAATGGAGAAAATAATCAGTAATAAAATAAGCCAAAAATGTTAAATCTTTTATATTAAAAAAATTACTGGGCGCTAACTTCTACCACGCGGCTAATTTATCGAAATCGATAAGAAACGGTTGCTGGCAAGACAACATAAAAAAATTGTATATAAATAAATATTGTTTTTAACAAAGCAAAATGAGTACTCGGCATAGAGGCAAATCCAGGCGTGGTGCTGGAGGAAGTTCTTATCGCAACGTCAAGTCAAGTCACAATTGCGAACGCAGCTTCGCCCAACAAGCCAATGAACTGGCTGCTTCCAATGCCACAGATAGCTCTGAATCGGATTCCGATTCGTCAGGTGACAATTTGGATGGACTTGGACATGCGCCCGAATTCGCCGTCTCCATGTGGGACCTCAATCACTGTGATCCAAAAAAGTGTTCGGGCAGAAAACTAGCACGTCTTGGACTTATTTCTAATTTGCGATTGGGTCAAAAGTTTCCTGGGCTCGTCCTTTCGCCCGTCGGTCAACTATGTGTTAGTCCACAGGACCGCGAAATCGTGTCTACCTCTGGAGTAGCAGTTATTGACTGTTCCTGGGCCAAGTTGGATGAGACGCCCTTCAACAGAATGCGCAGTCCCCATCCTCGGCTGCTGCCGTTTTTGGTGGCCGCCAATCCAATCAACTATGGAAAACCCTGCAAGCTGAGCTGTGTGGAGGCAATTGCAGCGACCCTTTATATATGCGGATTCACCGAAGAGGCGCGATGGTTTATGGGCAAATTCTCTTGGGGTCATGCATTCCTCGAGCTAAACGAGAAGCTCCTCAATGCGTATGCAGCATGTAAAAGCAGTGACGAAATATTAAAGGTGCAACAGGAATACCTTGAAGCAGAGCAAACAGAACGTGACAAGCCGCGGGATCTGAAGGAGTTTTATCCCACAAGCAGCAGTAGTAGCGAAAGCGAAGAGGAAAACGAAGACTAGATAAAATAAAGTTGTATATTATTTATACAAGAGGCCGAAGACGATTTATTTGTTTATACAAAGTCTAAATGGGTGATTTCCTTGTTATATTACAAGCCAGTTGTGAGTAGCAACACTCTAATTCAAATCGCGTACAAATTAAAGAGGTTTACCTAGCTAAATGTCTACTGAGCATTTCGCACATATTCCGGATCGACATTAATGAAGTTTGTCATGCTAAAGTACATGGCGCTGTTCTTCACCAGAAACTTGAGGAAATCATGCAAGTGTGCCAACAAGGTTTGCATTGCCGGTTGATCCAAGGCCGAGTAGCTCAGCATCGAGCCAAGTCGCACAAACAGGCGCAGCAGATGAAAGGAGCCGTACAGTTCAGATAGCGGCGTATCCGGATTCTTTTGCATTATGTCCGCATACTGGGTGCGCTCGAACTTATACAGCAGCTGGGAGCCAAGCATCACATTGAAATACTCGATAATACCATCGAGGACATCGTTAATGGCCACCTCTTTGCTGGCACTGGTCGACTTCACCGACTTCTTGTGCGCCAAATACTGATCTGCGATCTGCTGAACTGTTACCTTGGCCGGCAGCTCCAAGAGCTTGTGCTCACGCACTATCGCATACCAATCATCGGTCAGATAGTGCTTCAGCTCATCGGGTATCTTTATTTTCACTTCCAGCTTTGCCGTGTAGGTCTCCTCGCTCTCAACACACGGTGCATCAGCAACTGCTGTTGTTGTGGTTGCTGCTGTTGGCGTTGATGTTGTTGTCGTGGTTGTTGCTGCAGCAGCTGTTGTTGTTGACTGCGGTGCTGAGGCGGCGTCTATTCCATTGCCACTCTGAGATGAACGTTGTTCGCTATTGCTATTTTGGGAGCTCATGCGTTTGGCTTTAGGCGGCGGCGGCGCTGTGGGTGTAGCGGGCTCCTCTTCTGTATTATCGGCAGCTGTTGCATCCTCTTTTTTGTCAGCACTCGGTGTGCTTGGACGAGCTGCAGCTGTAGCGGATTGTGTGGACTTGCGGTTGCTTCGACTAGTTGTGGTCGTGATGGGGGTATTGTTGCTTGTGGTTGCGCTACTGCTGCTGCTATTGCTGCCATCATTTTTGGTCTTTGATTGTGCGGCAGCGATGGGTGTGCTGGTTGTGGCGCTGCTGGCGCCTGATGATGGCTGAGATTGGCTGCTGTCCTTAGAGGGTGTCGACGCACGGGATTCATTGCCTACATGCTCCATTTTTTTAGCCTTTGCACTGCCTGCGACATATTTCAATATTTAGCTCATAGTTATAATTCTGGCAGGTTACCTACTCATACCTTTTTTATTATCCTTTTTCGAGCGTTCAACGTACAGTCGTGCGAGCTCCTTTTGGCGCTTTACGTTGTCGTCATTGTATTTTAGCACACGACTCTCTGGCACCCACTCATCCCAGCTGCGCATCGTAGAAAAATTCATTGAATTACATGTGTAACAAATTGGATTTCAAGCATATTTACTTCTTGCTCCAACCCGCATAATGTATATAATATTCAACCGGCGAACTTTCCGGTTTTGTTTTGAGTACTTTGGCTTCATAGATAAGCGGCCCGTGAAAGCAAAGCACACGCTCCCCTAGAAAACAAGTTAATGGAATCAAACATTGAGCTGCCTGCCACTACATTTTGTGGCCTTACCGTCAGCAAATAATGTTGTGGAGTCAGAGGGCGTCCAGTTGTCCATTTTTACGGGTTTAACTTCTCCCATTGTTTTTATTGAAAATATATGCCAAAGCGTCGCAGCTGATTAGATCAGGTTGGCAGCCCCAAAATATGTAGCTACATACATATATGCATCGCCGATAATTTAGGGGTGCAAAACAAAAACAAGCGACAATTTATTGCACTGTATTATGAATGGTATTTATTTACAATATTTAACGAGCGTTAATGCCTACATCACAATATACATTTAATTTGCATTTACTGCTTTGCCGTCGGCGAAGATGAAGTCGTCGGCAATCCTTCCTCTTCCCATGGACGTGGACCGCGCTTGTTTGACCAATTCTCAATATCTATGCCTTTTACCTTATCATATTCCGATTCAAGAGTCACTTCTTGACGTTTCTTCATGGTCACACCAAATTTCTTCATTTCTTCCGGTGTTACAGGCTGCATCTTGGCGTACTGATATCTTGAAGCAAATAAAAATACGTTAGCATGTGAGTTCCTAGTGAGATTAGCTATATTCAGCTTACCTTAGATTTGAAAATTGTTGCAATCCAAAAGAACCGCCTACTATCATAATAAGAAAGGGCACACCATATTTAAATGACTTTCGTTTGGTGTAGTTATTCAGCTTTTGTGTAAAAGACATGTTGATGTTATTGTTATGAAATAATAACACAAGATCTCGCCAGGGCTGACGATAGGTCGCAACTTATGTATGTACTCTTATCGATATCAACGTATCGATAACAGTACGATAGGTCTGGCGGACTTTAGTTTTCATTTGACTGCAAAAATTGTGCACTATCATTAGAATTTCTAAGCTGCATACAAAAAATTCGCAGCTGTTACTTGTATTTACATATATAAAAATAGCTCAATTCAAATATTCGCATGCCCTTGATGCCAATTGCCAAATTGTTTAGCTCGCTTCTAGAAATTTACAAATGACCAATTGTTTTCCGGCTATGTTTGTTGCTGTTCTTTATTTACATACGATTTGGCGTTAAGTTCAAGGTCTAGAACGATTGTTTCTGCACATACGTATTCAGCAACTAATTGACACTGACGTCGCTTTAAGAGCGCCAAAAAGTTTCTCACATGCACACCACGACATTTGATATGGAACGAACAGCGCTGTCTGTGGTTCACCTTGGCCGTTATGCAGCCGACCGACCAGGCAAGGCAAGGCAAGTGGCTCGATGTAAAGATTTCCTTTTAGTACCAAAGCCGAACCAGTTCACAAGGAGCTTAGACATCGACGTCGAAGTCGACACGGTGACAATTGAGTCATCAATCGATGTACGCCAGTTGGCGATCTGCGATTATTTTTTCATTTTCCGCTTGCAGCTTGTTGTTGCAATTGTATGTGGCAAGTCGTCTAGGCCGAAGCTTAGTTTCCATAATTTTTGTTGAATTTTCACCAAATATGGTTGTAATTTTCTTAACAAGATTTTGCACTTGTTTGAGCACCAGCACAAATTCAAACTTGTGCACACATAAAAATATGTGTATATAGAAAAAAAATAAATATATATGTATATATATATTTTAGAACACATTGGAATTATGAAAAATCCGTTGTATTTATACACATTACATACGTTATCCATTTGGCCATGATTTTGTTTATCATATTTAGCAAGTTGTTTTAGTATTTTGGCCATTACAATGTTATCCTAAATTGAAAGACATTTGTATGTATGTATGTATATGTTTTATGTATAATATATATAAAAAATAAATTTATACATATATTTGTATTTGTTTTCCGTTTGCTGTTCTTTTTGGCCATTGCCAAAAATATTGAATGAAAACAGTTACGTCATCATGTGGGTGTTGCTCGTATTTAAATAGACATTTTTCTGTGTCCTCATTGCTGAACAGAATTTCTCCAAAACCTAAAAACAGCATATATGCTGCTATTTAAATAAATAATTATATATATACTTAAATACATAATATATGTATGTATATATATATTTAATATGTACAAAGTATGTAATAAAAATGTGTCTGAAAAAAGTATTATGGAATTATGTTATATACGGTTAATTATAAATAAGATTAATATTTAATAATACATTTTACTACAAATAAGTTTTTTACTGAATTCTTTCGGGTTCTTGTTGAAAAATGATTCACATATGTACATTTTAAATTGAAAATTGTCTTTTTAGAATTTTGTAGCTTATCATATATTATTTTGTGGATCACTAAATCGCCAAATGTTTATGTATTCATATATTTTTGTTATTTTCGTTGCTAAAATATTTTGGTTTCAGAATGGCTTAAATGATAAACATAAAACATAAAAAGATGATTCTTTTTTTAAATTTCATTAACTATAAGTTAATGTTAATCTCAAAAGAGCAATTATTAATATAAGTAGATAGCTTTTGTATCATAATCTATATTATCATTAAGCAAAAATATTAAGAATTATGCGTGCTCAGAAGTAAAATATTTTATCTTTTAATACATGTAGTGTAGGCTTTAAATCATAAATTGGTTTTATCACGTTCAGCACTAGATTATGACTCAGAACAATCTTATTGAAATTGCTTCAATTATCTTGGCTTAAAAATAATATAAATGAATACAAATGTGCACATGTATATGATTTTCCATGCAGTGGGAAACAAATTCAAAATCAGAAAAACATTTTGAGAAATCTATAAAAAATACGCACAGAATAGCAAAAAATTTTGTATGTAAATGTATGAGAGAATGTGAAGCAAGATTTTGTTTTTTGGCATATCAATAACTGAAATTTAAAAATAGCTCAAAAAGAAAAAAATCAGCCAAATAAAATAAAACAAAATCTTCATATACACACAGAGCAAAATACAGGCATATTAAGCTTAAAATATACTGGGAAATTTTGAAATTCTTTGCGCCTACAAAGGAACAGGTGAAAGAGAAAGAGAGAGGGAGAGCTATTAAAATGAGCGCCACAATTTCGTTGTTGTTGCTGCATCGACTTATTCTTTTTTGTGTTCTTTGATTTCTCGTGCTTATGCAGAAAAAGAACGCGCTCGTAAATTGAGCGCCCGTCGTCTGTGGCCATCGTGAATGCAGTTACAAAATAAAAATTTGAGCGCCGAACGATTTGTGTTGAGCATGCAAAACGCATGCCAGCTGCTAAGAGAGCAAACGAGCGTGTGAGCGTGCGAGCGAGGCGGCGCAGCACTGCTGCCTGCCTTCGCTTCGCTGCTTTGCCCAAAATGTATTTCTGCTTACTCTCTCTCGCACACTCACACACACTCTGCACACGCACACAGACGCAAACAGCTTGAAATCGAAAAACGGCGGGCATCGAACGTCAGTATATTGAATAAATATTTTCAGTTGAACATCACAATCCGTTCAAGTCGCGGATAACTCCGAATAAAAGTTTTGTAAGTAAAAGGAATAAACAAGAAAACCCACAAAGAATCAAACTAGTTAAATTTTTCAAGCAGTTCAACATTAAATTAACAAATATTAATTGTGCTGCAGCTAATATTTAAGTTAAAAGCAAAAATGAATTGAAAAACAAAAACAAGTGCCGAGAGTTTTCTTAAATAATTGAAAAAAGGACATTGTCGAAAAATTACATAATCAAATCTAAAATACAAATAACAAATAATGTAACTAATCAAAGTGCTGTGAATAACCGCAAATATTTTGTCAAGTATTTCAAATATTTAAGATAAATATATATACAAAATTGAGGTTAAGCAACTCTGGCAAACAGTTTGAACTAATGCAAAAACTTATGATGACAAAAAAAATGAAAAAAGCCAATGTCTTTGTCTTAACCACAACTTGAGCTCTAGAATTTCAATTAAACACATTGCATGAGATTAAAATACATATACTTACATATATACATACATATATGATATATGTGAATATACTCAATAGGCTAATGGAAACGTGCTTAGATTAGAAAAATTTACAAAAATATGTTGAGGCAGGCCAGAAGAATATAATAAAATGTAGCATAATTTCTAGATACTTATTGTGGCTGAAAATAATTGTTATTTGTGGAAATAGTTATCATAGCTTATAGGACCTCAAAGACCTCAATTATATGTATTTATATTTCAAAATATTGCAAAATCACACGTTCTTTATCCAACTTTGGTCTACTCTGTAATTTGATACAGAACCAGAGTGGCCGACGTTCGAATCTATCTAAAGACTGGCGTAGGCGAAATGCTTTCGTATGTTCCTGAAAAGCTTTTCTCTCAGTTTATATTAAGTAATATCCATTCGCATAGCTGTTAGGAAATATTCAACAGATGCCAGGTTATTTTTAGAAACACCAAAAGTACGAGAGATTATGATGAGAGAGAGAAAGAGAGGGAGAGAGATTGAGATTGAGTGTGATCTATAAAGCTTTTATGAGCTTTTAACGCTGCCAGGCTTTTTTAAATACACTTATATATATATATATATATATATATATATATATATATATATATA